AGATGGATATGTTCACGGACTCTGCTCTAAATTGTTGGGATAGCAACCATCCACTTATCGGACAGCCAGTGTTGCTCTACTGATGATAGCCCTGTCGGGGTGACTAGCCATGACAGGCAAGTCGATCAAGCGATGATAGACGGTGACGACACATGCCCAAGGTCATCACCGCCGGCGTCGGTGAACAGCGAAATAGTCACGCCGGGCACGCAAGATCAGCTTGACATGAATACTGATGCCATCTGTTTCTCCTCTCCTGGTCTCGCGGTCGTGCAGATACAGGGAGTCGAATCCAACTCTACCTGCCAAACCAACTCGTCTAATATATCTAGCTACCAGGAATCAACCAGCCTGGTCAATACGGCGACCCCGTCTAAAAATGCAGCGCCAGCTAGGAAAATGAAAGTAGAGCTGAATCGTGCGATCCTGGTGTATTCGACCTTTTCTCAAGCATTTACGGCCTGGGCACTCTCAAGCCACCGTTTCCTAAACAGGCAATATCTGCAAGCTGTCCTATAGTCAGGGACGACGCAATTAACTTTATCGATCAACATGTCTACTCGTGGCATTTCCGAGATGGCTGGCCCCAACCGAAATGGATGATCATCAATGCCTTAGTGCTTGCCTCGGTGCTGCCGACAGATCCATTTATAAGTTCCTCTGCGAATTGGACTGGTCGGAGCTGCATGCAAACGTGGACGTGATATTCATTAGACGATGCTTCACGCTTATGCGGTTAGTCTATAAATTTGACTGCATTGCCACAGACATTCGGACGGGAAAACATTTTGGACAAAGAACACGACCAGGCGAAGTCGGGACTGCCGATCCGCAGCAACAGATTTTATGCTCGAATCGTTCTACCCAGAGTGGTCGAGCAATATTTCACCACAATTCTATCTGCGGAAAAGGTTAAAGCAGAACCTTGATTGTGGGCGGCGCTGGTACATGTTGGTATTACGGTCAGGTACGAGAGGAAGAAGATCAACCAATGTACTAGCATTTGACGAAACAAATAAGCATGAAGGGGATTTTATAGAAACACGCACGGCGATGGTAACGCGTAGGGAAGCCTAAACCCGAAACGGCACGCTAAACCCTTTCGCGTAATTCACCGTCACCGGATTATACGGATACGGAGTACGGAGTAGATACCCATGAATGAGCGATCGGAGATCTTACTTCTATTCGTCGACCTGTGGTCCCCAGATTATCTATCATGGTAGATCCGTTTACACTGTACTGATACGTACTGGAAAAGGATTTGAATGCATATCCTCTCAGCCTGGAAGCGGGGGAGCTGGATGATCTACACTTTTCAAGTATACTTTTAGGTCCATCCTTGCATCTGTCCGTCAGCGTCGATCCTTTTCGCCACTGGAATACTTCCACGTCAGAAACAGTTAGGCACGGCGAAACCCAGGAGAATTAAGTCCTCAAATAAATCCGACTGGGTTCCGTTGATTATGATTCACCATTTGGTAACCAAGTACGGACTACGGGGCTAAAATAAACAGTGCTATGTCCTATCTCGAGTACCGTAGATCCGGTTCTAGGGGGCCTCTGAGCTATCGTCTGCTGCAGCAAAGTCACACGCGAGCAGTCACATTGTGGACTGAGCGGATAGTTGGAAATACACGCTGGCATCTCATTTCTTTTCTTTCCTTGGCTAGACGGTTAAACTAATGCCCCGTTATTTCTCCTCCGTGTCAGATCCCAACATTCCCGACCGGATGGCGTGTCCAGTCTACTGACTGGTGGTCCGATCTCGCAAGTTTGCATCATCCGAACTCCACCGCCTTATCACTTGGTATCTGTTATCAACGCATCATCGTCATCTCCCCCTTCCTTGTTGTTTCTTCCTTTTCTCCCACGAACCAGCCCTGGTTCTGGTTCTGGTTCTCTCTCATTTCCTCAACTCCTTTGCTCTCCCCTTACCATCCTTCGGGATCCTCTCCTTTAGTCGGATCCTCAGCTCCCGACCGCACTCGCGGTCTTAATTGCGGGGAAGAGATCCACTATCCATTCCAACCATCCACCGCCTATCTGGCTCTATCCTCGTCCTCCCACGCCATTATCTGATTATCGCCCCGTCATGGCTTTCCGTGTGCCAGCCCAGGCACCACGCGGACGAACCTCCTACTCTGCTTCGCAACCTCCTCCCCCTCTCGACCTCCCTCCTACCACGTCTGAACCGCAAGAAGATGACGCGACACAATGGGTGCTTTTCTCCCCGACCGCCCGCACGCACACGACCTCGACAGAACACACCCGGACCATCGGAGCATCACGTCTGAGTGATTTTGGCTCGTTCGGTACTGCGACTCGATCTGCTGCTGGACAGGAGGGCGAGAGGGAGGAAGATGACGAGGATGCCCTGGAAGACCAGCTTGACGAGGACGGCACGGAGCTAGATAGCCTCGATGATGGGCTGCATGCTTTCCGTGCTCCGTCGCTGGCCCCCGCTTCTCCCTCACGGGTTGACCAGGGGCCGCCTGCCATGCTCCCCGCCCACGATGGGCTGGGGAGCTTTCAAGCATCCAGCCAGCTGGCTCAGGACCAGCTGTGGCAGCACGAGCAGTATAACCCCCAACGGCGCGAGCAGGCTCTCCCTCGTCATCGTCGACGCTCCAGTGTCCAGCGACACCTGGATACGGTGAACGAACAAGAGGCCCATGTCGAGCGGGACCGGTGGCAGAGGATCGAGCAATGGCGGATGGACCAGAGCCGGGCACTTTTGCAGGAGATTGAGCGGGAGACTTGTCGACGTCGGTCTAGTCGTGCGAGCGTGTCGACGATCCCACGCTCCGTGGACTATGCCTCTCCGCCCGTGATCCCAGAGTCCCCCGCAGAGATTGCTGCTCCAGTAGAGCCCGAGGAGACGGACGAGTCGCTCTGGCGTCGCATCACACGCAAGGTCATTCAAGATCTAATTGGTATCGACGATTCTCTACTCTCAGTCATCCTTGGCGAGTCTCTCCCGCTAGACGCGCAAACTGCCGATGACTTGCCAGAGCTGGATATGGAAACCGTGCTGGCACGTGAACCTGAGCCTCATAATATCGATGCGCCTCTCTGGCAGACGCGTGTTCTCCAGCGGATCGCTCACGAATTGGGTATTCTGGTGCACCAGCTCTGTGAGCAACCGGGCGCTTTTACATCATACTACCAAATGACGAAAGAGATCTCGAGTGAATATGCAGGCATGTCACTCAACCGTCTGACTGACAGTACCACCACATCCGTACGACCCTCCGAGCCGACAACCCAACCCTCTGCGGAAATCACACCCTCCGAATCCATGCCTTCACCACACTTCACCCCAACCCTCCGCGACCCCAACCGCGAACACGAAGCGCAATGGGGCATCGAAGATGATGATCCTACGGGAGAACCAGTCTCGGATTCTGCCCGTCTCCAACAGGAGCAAGAGTACTGGGAACGCGGGCTCGACGTCATGATGGTATTCCGCTACCTACGCACCCGCTTCAGTCGCCGTGGATACATGTCCGGCGAGAAGTACACCGCCACCCCGACCCCGCGCCACACACAGGATGCCTCTCGCCGCGCCGCGATTATCCGACAACATCACCCACTGGTTGCTCGAGCCCACTCCCGCTCGCAAACCCAATCCCGCCGCCCATCCCAACTCTCTGGCGTCTCTGGTCCGGCGGGTGTCTCGTCGCCGCTGGTTCGGCCACACCTGCGCCGACCTAGTTCCAGCTGCGCTAGTCAGAGCAAACTCTCGGCTATCTCAAGCCGAAGGACGCTGACGGGCTCGAGCAGGAATTATTGGGACATCGGCGGGTCTGTGGAGAGTAGTAGTGCGATCGGTGTGGGAGCTGCGCTCGGCACGTGGGGTGAAGCTTAATCTGGCAATGTCCTCTTCTATATTTTTGCATCTTCTCTCTTCTCTCTTCTCTTCTTTCGTCTCTGTTCTCTCTGTTCATGGTTCAGAGTGGTTTGGAGTTGGTGGTAGGCGGTTGGATATACATAATCTCAGAAACGACATACATGTGACGGTGAGACGGGTGAATATTCCTTGTGTTGATTTAAGGATCTCTGTCTATAGGATTTGGGTTGTTGGTGTTGTGTTTTCTTTGGTTTGGTTGTTCCGGGATTGGGTACTCTCTTCTATCTTCAACATTCATATTGCATGCATACGATCACATCGATATACGTTGACTTCCATTGTCTACATTATCAATCTACAGAATATAATCTTTAGAGCTCTGGTCACCATGCTGTCTAATCCAATCACTCCCTTCTTTTAAAGTAAACTCGCACATAGAACCGTTCTGGCCCTCGAATACATCAGTTCCTCAACCCTCGAACCAATCACAAACTCGACGTCTACGACTCTCACAATGAAGCAAAGTTAAAGCTCCAGCTTGTAGAGGGGTTCGCAGCGTGTTTGTTTATGCACAAAGCAATGGTAATCGAAAGGTCCCGTCGTATAAACAAAGTCACATGCCCAGTCTCATAGGTAGAGGGTATCAATCTACTGGCAACTTACTCCTTCCTCATCTCGCAACCGCCAATTTCGACGCACCACTACGCCACCCAGAATATCATTCAAGGTAAATAGACCATCTGCCACTATTTCATGATTTCGGACGAAAGACACAGGGAGATCGTTAGCTCTCCCTCTCACATCAGTGCCAGACCTCGTCTCAAATCAGCCTTTAAGCCTCTCAACACCTGCGTTGGACTTGCTGTTGTGCGAGGATGGGTGATGCCGCACGTCCGAGTGATGAGGATTTCAAACAAGTCCTTCAGGAGAGTCTAACGACATAGTCCTCTTATTTGGGCACCGAAAGGGAGGGTGACCTATTACCACGGCAAGCAATAGACTTGAAAGCCCTCGTGAGCCAGACTCCACCATTCCTTGGCGATGGCATTGTTTCCAGTGAGAATATTTCGTTCTCCTGTGAGGAGTGGCGATATTCGCTAGGAACAGACACTCAAACCGGTACTCTTCTCATCAATGGACAGTCCACATGGAAAACTTCGAAAGGGAATTCTACCCTTCCGCCGAGGGTCCTGCCAAAGCAACTTCTTCTAGCAGTTGGGAGTCGACGACGTGTGGAATTTTCAGAAGATTCCCCCCTCTCAGACTGGCCCGGTGTTCAAGGACTGTCCGGTTACGACAAGGGAAATTACATATCGGTCCTTTACTTCGCCTGGGCCTATTTTCTATCCGCTAGATGGGTTGAGGCACTTAGTCGCTCTGCAGACCATGATTGTGATCTAAGATACAACGTGCAAGGGCCAAACATTTCTCCGCCTTACAATGAGCAATCAACGATCCAAATTGACCTCGGCGAGGATGCTTCTGCGGAAGAAGTCTTCTGGTGGCGCACCATTTTGTGTTCTAACGACGGCTGGGATGCGAGCACCAAGTACAATGGCCTTGTTTGTTTGTCGCCGTGGTCATTATCAGCAAAGCATGCTGGCGTAAGCGTCACTCAGGTCTCTACTGGCGCTAGGCCAAAGCCACCATCATCCGTAACCGCTCTCGGATACCTCTCCCGGTTTTGCGCGTACCATCGCATTTATGCTCAGTGCTCAGTCGCCCTCGCTGGAGTACTCTACATCCAATTTCCACAGAGAGAGACAACGATCTTGCTTCCAGTCCCAAAACAAATCTGTCAACAGGAACGAAAGGACCTCATCGGCGACCCTTCTGTTTCTATCGCAGATCTTATCAACGACCTTGGCGAATTGCTTCCTAGATTCATGACGCTCAGCTCTAATATCTGGGGTCTGCACTCTCTTCTGTCCAGCACCTTCTTCAATCCAGACATTGACTGTAACCTTGTCAGTGCCTGGTTAAACCCCGCGTTTGCTGTTCTTGATTCGATCACTTCTGGGAAATCTTCAGTGGCCGTACTTTCAGCGAATAGACAGCCTCGCTTGGGCATACTTTGGCTTGGTGCAATTCTCATGAACGTGGCGAAGATTATCTTAGCAGGACGTACTTTCAGGAATGATGGCTCTGGATCTTCCAGCCTCTGCCTTGACCGGAACAACACAGACTTTCTTGACTTTAGGAATCGGAAGCAGTCATGGTAAATCAATCTGTCGTGATGATGAATGCCGGCTTCTTTTCATTACGGCTTGTGAATACCATGAACGGCCTCCAGTCTGGGTATGGAAGCCCTTTGGATTTACAAAGCTTTGCGACACTGAGCTTCCACTCCGAGAACATGCTCAGTGTGCCAGTCATTGTCTAGAGTACGAATGCTGGGAATGGATTCTGACAAAAGACGGTTCAATTCGAGATTCTGGAATAGAATCTACCCTGCCTCCAGTCCAAAAATCAAACTCCCCAGTCAATGTCAACAAGCATTCAGCTAGGCTTGATGATTATGACTATGATTTCCATTCCCAAGAGCTTTCGGAAGGATACACACGTGGGATATTCTCATGGCTAAGGTCGACAGGGTATCCTCGCAACGAAAGACCCATTTACAAACATTCTTGGCTGGACTTGGAAAGCGCTGATGAAGAAGATGATTCGGAATAAGATGTGGAGGAACAGTCGAGTTCAAAGAGGTAACACGTTGAAAGCTGGCTCAAAAGCTTTCGAAGTCGAGACCAGATAGGAGACCAATACACCCTGTCTGTGAGGGTTATTGAAGCAAAGTAATAAAATCGACTGTTATTTGCAATATCTAAACAACTATCCGGCAAGAAGGCTCTCATTCCACTGACGATTTATCCCGAGCATCCAAAATGAATAATTAACAATTGAACTTGACGCCAAAATCTCGAAGCCCGTTCTTGAAATCTTCATGACTAGGCGTAAGGTCCTGTGCCCCATACTTGCAAGTCGGCGACGTCGAATCATCCTTCGCACTATAGCAAGTAATAAGCCATTGCAGCGGACCCTGGATATTAACGGTGTTCTTCGTGTCACCCCCCGCACGATTCGTCTTCTCGGTATACGCAATGAGCGCAGCATCATTATCGTACAGCGTAAGTTCCAATGCATACGTCCCAGCGTTGAGATCATTGATCATCTCATTCTGCTGGTACTGTCGAATGTGTAACTCACACTTTCCCTTCGTATAGTCTTTGGCATTACCAAATGATTGTGGTGTCCCGGTACCCTCGAATGCTTTGACGGGGTTTGCTGGTGCAGTGCGAGGAGGATCTTTTTTCGGATCTTGGTCTGGATTATTGCAGGTGAACCCGCAGGAGCCTTCGCGCTTGCCATTGTCGAATGCCCCGATGTTGCATTGGTGTTGTTGATCGGTTTCTAACCACCACTGATTATTGTACCAGAATGAGAGCATGTCTTTGCCGTCGGATCCTTTGTAACTGTCTTGCACGATGACGGGATAAGGCAGTTTGCTGTCGATTTGGAGAGAGCCGTCAACTGGTTGCTTGGTAGCGTAAACAAGAGGGGTATTGTCGCCGCCCATGATGGTGACTGCTATCTGGTATTCGTTCAGCGGATTGATGTATTCAAAGTCCTTGTGGGTTCCTTGCTTGTACTGATCAGGTTGGAACTGAGTGATGTGGATCGTGCACCACCCTGGGACGTAACCATCCGAATTTTCTCCACCGGACACGTCCTCGACATCCTTCGGTTGTGCACCACATGGAGGATGAACCAAGTTCATAATGTTTGCTTTCGCTTCCGCAGGATCTAGTCAAATGGTAAAGTTGAAGAAACCTGACCCTGGTCAATATTTGGTACATGACTCAAGCTGCCTGTTGGAAAAAGTACCTGGAGTCTGGACATTGCCGAGCATAGGCCATCCATAATCTATCAAATCCCAGTCCTCGTCGACGACAACCGAATCACCGGATTGAAGTGACTGATTCGAGAATTAGCTGAGGTTTGTTTTAGTTGAGGTTCTATCGAGTGGACTCACATAGCCGTTGCGTTTACCATTCTTCAAGAAACCCCCATAGCTCGAAGCAACGATATCCTCAAGCGATATTCCCCATCTTTCACCGTCCAGCGTGACATTGTCACCTCCTTTCAGCGCCGTAAATGGCTGCCAGTCATTATTGATGCAACTCTTGCATTTTGGGTAATTGGCATTCAAAAGCCAGAAAGTAGCAGACCTGGGAATGTTAAGGTCAGAAATTTGCAACGGCGATTGCAGATGGGGACCCTTACTTGGAGAGATCGCTACTGTCACACCAGTGAGTTCCAACATTGGTTCCTGGGTTCATATACCTTCCAGGGTTCCAAGAGCTGACCTTCAGTCCAGTGCCACCCCCAACTTGGACATCATCGCCGCACTTCCAGTGCTCGGGGCCTAGTCGTCTACGTTGCTGTTAGTTTCAGCGACGCAAAGAAAGGCTAGAATTTCACTCACAAGATGAACGGATTCATAGGCTCTTCAGAATTCTCCCAGACCTCTGGAAGCATACTTCCCCAAAATAAACTCTTCAAATCAAATTGCAGGTCAGACCAACTCGAATCAGTCAAACCCGACATGTTAAACATGCCACCACCCTCCATCATTTGATCAATTTTGTCGCGGTTCTTGGTATCGTTGGCCCACATGATATCGGTGAGCTGGTTTTGGATACCAATAATGGTTGAGTTGAAGTAGCTACTGGCGTACCACGCCATTTTACCCGTGATTTCGGTGATAGCGTCGACTGGGGTGGACCTGGTAAGGATCGCAGTCAGTAGGGATCATTTGTAGGCATGGTTTCTGCACTTACAGGCTATCCTTGCCATTAATCATGGCATAGGCAATTGATGCACTCGAAACATCTTTCCAGACTGACCGAGAATTGCCCTCGGAACCCTTAGCGCCTTCAGGTGCTTTCCCGTTCTTCGGGAATCTCTGGCCCTTAGCCTTGTTCAGGTATTCTGTCATTTAATTAGCTAATCATCTTGAGGATAATCAGGGATACTGACGTGGAAAGACCTTGGCCTCTTTGAGAACTTTAGAAGGATTTTCGTTAGCAATGCAGTAATAGAAGCTTCAATTGGTATAAGCTCACTATCATTCCACACCACTGCAGATCCTAGCCCAAGAACAAACGTGATACTGTCCAGAATAAGCTTTAAGGTCTTCTCATCAGCGGTGTTCTTTCTCTCCGCGAAGGATTGAACGAAATTCAACATGTTTCCTTGAGAGATGATCTGGTTGGTAATAACGGAGTCCCAGACAGTCGTAATAGCCTAAAATCTGTCAATCTGAGCCTTTTTGTACCGATACGGACAGACTAACCTGGTGAAGATAAGAGAACGAGCTAAGAATGTATTCCGCGGCAGCGGGGAACTGATTCTTGCCACATTCTGGGGGAGCACAAGGAGCATCATGCACAGAGCACTGAGGATCAGTGTTGATGCTGAAGGCATTCCACAAGTACGAGTCCAGTCTGACCGGCCCGCCACCACCAGCTTTGTTCTCGTTTTGGTCCCGATACGCTTTGAAGTCGTTGAAGAGTTGAGACCAAGCCGCTAACGTACAATATTGGTCTTCAGCGTTTCTCAAGAGTCAAAGGGATAATGGGAACTTACTGGGCACCTTTGCTGAGTTCCACTTATCCATGAAGGTACCAACGGTGATATCAGTATCTTTTCCATTGCATGGGATGTTCACCCAGTCGCCCGAGTGCTGGAAACGCCACGAGCTTGTTGCTGTACTCGCTGCATTGGTATTCGTTTTCGTGGAGGAAGTGCCAGTTTTAGACTTTGCTTTCACATTATTGGACTTCGCAGTTGTTGTTGATCCTGAATAGATAGCTTCCAAGGCAATTGGGTTTGCTCCGACAAGTCCAAGTAGGACTGGCCAAAGCAGAATGTAGTCTGCTTTCATTGCCGACGTGGGGGAGCTTGATCAGGGATATAAAAAAGGAGAGGGCCTGATAAAATAGAGAGCGCACTGTCAATTCTCATGGAATTTGCTGTCTTTTGCCTTCCACGCAGCGAGATCAGATTATTGTATCTATACTTTATAGTCCACGAGAAGAACTAACATTTCTCGCATACCCCTATCAATGCCCGATGATCCTGCCCAAGAGCAAAGGGTATAGCCCCCAAGTTCAGCAAATCCTTCCGTTGAAGCCTGCGAGTCATTCCATTTGTATTGCTATAGCATGGCAGACAAGGCTTTCTCAAGTGGTTGTCCCTAATTCAAAGCGCATATATTAGACAAGATCGAGATAAAAATGTCTCAATCTATAGCCCTGCATAAGGATAGTGGTGATCGGCGCCTTGTGGAGCCGCTCGTCTGGGGCCGAAAGCCTGAAACAGGACCCTGTTGATGTTTGGCCAGCGACAAGCAAGTCGAAGCGTCAGCCTAACCCACGTGCAGCCCCAATCATCGTCGATTCACTGCTTGGCCCCGGGTAAACCGCCAGGGGCCATTTTCAGGGACTGCTTCATACAAAGAAGGAATATGCCCACACGTGCGAACGTACGATCTTCCCGCGGGACAACTTCAAATTCGGCCCCCGTTGTTGCCACCAGGGACTATGTTCAGTTGTATCAGATTATGATATCATCGTTTTCTTCAGGCTTTTAGTAGTCATAATTGCGAGGATTCCCACGACTAATTCTCGACTTCCATTTTGATACAAGCGAAGCCTGAGGCCCACCATGCCTGATCGCTCACGTGCTTTTACCCTGCTTGGGGCGCTGTTATATCTTCCTTTTGGCGCAGTCGAGGCAGCAAACCTATTCTCCAGGGGCACCGCGACTACCGCTGTTAGCACTAATGCCTGGGTTATTCCTTTGACCGGCCCGACGACCACCGGTGCGACATGGGGCGCCAACATCTCCGAGTCGGCAGATAAAGCCTCCAATAAGGTCCCTATCGCCCTCGGAGGTGGTGACCAAAACGATTCGTTGAGCACGGCGATAGCCGTGGATGCGATTGCATCTGCTGGGACTAGCAATGAACAGCTCCTTGTGCCCAGGGGCCCAGAGCTCCCGTTAGGGAATACTTCACTCAGTGTTCAGAGTGGAGGGTCGATCATCCAGAAGGCGTCTATACCAACGGTCCCATTCAGTCTGACTCTGGGGTATGGCAGCACGTGGAATGGTTCCGTTATCCTTGGCGGATATTTCGACAAAAATCGCATATTTGGAGAGAAATGGACGCCAACGGAAGAAACTTCGGGTGGTAACACGACACTCCTGTCAACCGGTAAACAGTCCATTGGTACGGTGAGCATTCGCAAGTTCACCTTCCAGGGTGATGTGAGCGGCGACGAAGGCTCAAAGATCACTCCTTCCACTCCCTTTGGTAACTCCAAGGCCGGTACGGTGGATTCTAACCACGACGCAATTCTCGATTTTACCTCGGATACCATTGCTCTTCCAAGGACTATTGTGGCTCAAACATCACGATCACTCTCAACCCTGGTGTGGCGGGTGACAGTACCTATAGCGAGCTGCAGGTTCCCGTTCCGGCCGAGTTGACAAGTTCCAATCAGTGTACGAGCACCTCGGGCACGATAGTCTTGGGGAAGCCGTTCTTCCAAGCGGCCATTATCCATGTTGACAGCGGTGGGGACATATATTTCAATGCAGCTAATCGTTGGGCGTTCCCCGTCAGCCTTGATGTCTTCAATAAGGATGCTATGCTCAATGTGCCCAGTCAGCCAGCCACTGCAACACAGTCTGCGACCCCAACCGCGACCAAGTCGTCGTCGGCTGCTCTGCATGGGCTGCCAAGTCCTATGTGGATGGCGCTCATGGCTGTCTCTGCCTTGTTCTTCACTGCGTAATTTGGAAGCTACCTCATAGTTCCCTTCGGATCATGACAGGATACTGCTTTTTGCCAATTTTTTCAGACATGTATTGACGAACTTTCTTTATACTAAACTTGGGTCGAAACCTGTTGAATCGATAGTCGGCATCATTAGAGATAAAAATTGTTCTGGGCCACCATATTCTGTTGACTGGACTAGAGAAAATCTCACAGGAGCCCATTTTCGAAAATTAGAAATCAGTAAACACACCAGAGTTGTAAGGTATTATGCAAAGACCAGCCCCTTCCATCCAGCCGCTTTGCACTCAGCACACTTCCGACGATACTCCACCGCATGTCCCGAATATCTTGCCACACTGCGAACAGTCTTACCTTTGATATTCTTGTTCACACCAGTCATCCAGCTATCAATTTCTTTGGCAAGATGACCCTTGCTACACTCAACAACATGCTCCGTCCACTCTTCAACCGCCTCTTGGGTAGGTTCCACATAAGAGTAACCGTTGTCCTTGCAGTATTGAAGTAGATCGGAAACGACTTGTACTGCATGTTCGATGGTACGTGGCGCGTTGCCAAATGGCTGGTGTGGTCCAAGAACCATGAACATGTTTGGCATTGAGTGTGCTGTAATACCTAGGAAAGTTTGGGGCTTGTGATCAATCCACACTGCCCTTTCGCCGTCCTTTGAGTAGCTGCTTCCGAGAAGAGAGCGGCCATCCTTGGCGTGCCATTCGATGGCACTGAATGCACCCGTGATGGCGTCAAAGCCAGTGGCGTAAATTAAAACATCAAGCTCATGCACCCTGCCATCCGAGGTCTGAATACCCGTCTCCATAATCTGATCGATCGGCGTTTGTTGAAGATCGATGAGGTGAATATTCGGCTGGTTGTACACCTCAAAGTAACCACTCTCGAGAGGTACGCGCCGGGTACCGAAACCGTGAGTCTTTGGGATCAAAATATCCGCGACCTTCGGGTCATTCACGCGGGCTCGAATCTTATCCGCGATAAAATCAGAGTACAGCTTGTTAGCCTCGCGACTGGTGTAAGTATCACTAAAAGTACCGAGCCATTTTGCAAACCCGGGCTTTGCGTAGATTTCCTCCCAAAGAGCAAGGCGTTCCTCCGGAGAGACCTCCAAGGACTTGCGTGGGTCGGCTTCATGCATGAAACAGGCTGGTGTTTCGTTGCAGAGCTTGAAAAGCTCGTCGTAATTCTCCCAATGCTTTTGCATTAGTTCAAGACTGATCGGTTCGTTGCGTAGAGGCGCTGACCAGTTTGCCGTTCGTTGGAAGACGGTCAGCGATTTCACACTGGGCTCTTTGGAAACGGCTGTAATTGTCTGGATTCCAGTTGCTCCGGTACCTATCACGCCAACCCGCTTGTTGCCAAAGTCTCGGCTGAGATTGAAATCTCTCGGCCAACGTGAGGTATGGAAAGCCTTGCCCTTGAAGGACTCGATACCAGGGATGGCTGGCAAAGTTGGCAATGATAAGAAACCCATGCAGCTCACGAAGAATCGAGTCTGGTACTGCTTGCCGGATTCATCGGTGAATAGCCATGTATGAGTGCTGTCCTGCCACCGTGCGGACTTGACACGTGTATTGAAATGGATACTTTTGGCCAAGTCATGCTTCTCAACGATGCGCTCAATGTATCGTAGAATCTCCGACTGCGGTGCAAACGACTCCTTCCAGTGCCACTCATTCATCAGCTCCTTGTCAAAGGAGAAGGCATAGGACAGCGACTCGGAGTCGACTCGAGCACCTGGGTATCTGTTTTGAATGCGTATAAGAAGATATCTATTCGTGACAGTTTACTCATTATTCTTACCTGTTCCAATACCATGTTCCACCAACAGAATCAGCTCCTTCAATCACTCTGATGTTCCACGAGGGGAACCGTTTACGCAAGTGATAAAGACTGCAAACGCCAGACAACCCGGCGCCGATGATGAGGATATCATGGGACTTGATCTGCACTGATCCCATGGTATTGATGTCTTGTCGCTTATTGATTATCTTTTTTAGGTTGTGAACATGATGTAGACATGATCATAGATGGTCTTTATAGACTCCATCCATGATTGTGCCACACCATAGATCATGTGCATGGCTGTGGAATATACATGGATTCTGCCCGGTAGGAAGCATCGGCGATACTTGCTTGTCTCGAGGCTGATCGCTGTCTATCGAAGTGGAGACGCGATCAGCGCCAGAGCCAGCGCCACTATTTGATCTCAGTGGTCTCCCCCGCCCACGTGACGCTATAACCTTCCTAAAGGAACTGGGTTGTAATAGAACAATGTCAATCTTTCTATTTTCAATTGACTTTATTTTTGGAATAAGCCTGAATGTTACAAAGAAATTTGGTTAAGGAACGGAGTTCCCTTCCTGGTCGAGAATGTCCGGGAGTAGGTCCTCTACGCCTGTTGTCGGAAAGTAGCGCTCGATGGTCTGTCCCAAAACCTGTACGTATAAATCTAGGCCAGTAAAGGCTTTCTTAGAGATGAATGGAAGAAAATTCCAATGGAAAAGTTTTAATCCTAATCATTAGAATTCGTGACATTCATTTGAAGGAAGGTCTTATGCGCAGGGCCCCCGTCTTGTTGAAGTGCCAATGGCGTTCAGTCAGGTTCTGATGGGTCTTGTTCTGTGGCTCTAACTGTACTTTTGAATCAAGGCATAATAAACTCTCTAGCATCAATTTTAATTCAAGGTCTCATATAAAATTTGTAATAAAATTAGGTGCTGATACAACTCAACACAGCCAGCCTCCATCAACATTGTACACCGCGCCCGTCACAAAGGATGCCTCATCGCTCAATAAGAATGCAACCACATTTGCCACTTCAATTGGCTCTGCACGTCGCTTTAGCGCGGTGGCCTGCAAGCCTCTTTTCACATCTTCGGGATCTTCACCCTGAGACATAGGAGTGTTAACGGAGCCTATGATCTACGTCAGCATTTGATAAAGCCGAACGTCGGCGCATCAGTCTTATACCTGGGGAAACACAGTTGACTCGAATATCTTTGTTTTCTTTGGCTGCCGTTCGTGAAAGTCCAATAACCGCTGCTTTGCTAGCACAATAAGGGGAAACTCCAGGTGAGCCCATCTGCCCAAACGCACTGGCAGCATTAACCTTCGTATCTAGGTCAACGAGATCCTATAAAGTGAACCAGACGTGACTGCTTACGATGCTGCCTCTGGCACCCATAGCTCTCAACTGTGCCCGCAGACAATAGAATAGCCCACTTGAGTTCACGTCGAAATTGAAATTCCAAGTCTCGTCCGTTGTTTCTGTGATGGGCATCGTCGGAGTAATGACCCCCGCCATATTCACAGCGCCATCAAGCTTTCCCAGTTTGTTCACAGTAGATTTAATCCAGGTATCCACCTGACAGCTATCGCGTACATCGACTCTCGTATAGAAATGGCTTTCACTGCCCGGTAGTGACTCAATCACTGTTTGCAGAGCAGCCTCGTTGATATCTGCCATGGACACGATTGCACCACGAGATGCGACCAATTTTGCGGTTGCAAGTCCCATGCCCGAGGATGCACCAGTGATGGCAATCTACAAATTTTCCCATGATTAGCAATGATTCCTGGGTGGCGTAGTAGAGACTTGCGACTTTGCCCTCCAAAGATGCCATTCTGTAGTCACAGCACGTTAAAAGCTGATCCAGTATCGCAACGTTTGCCTTTTCTGCGATTTTCCCAGGCAAAAATAAGGAATTACTCTCCCGTAATCTTGGGATCACAACCCGGAGTATATGCACCATGGCCAGATGATCACAATACTTCGACGGACATGAATAGGCAAGTATACTCCGTACTCGAAGCAGAAAAGGCAGGCTTCCGCTATCGCAGCCCCACTCTTATCTTCCCCGCAAACCGTCTCGTCCCGATACTGGCAACTGGCCCGATATCCATGTATTCTTTGGATCTCTTCTCCTGCTTCCTTATCCGTGCAGCTTGTATCATGGAAGAGCAAATCGAACGCACAGACTTCAACTCACATACTCGCACCTTTACGGGCTGTAACACGGTATATACCTGCCGTCAATGGATAGTGAAATGGTCGAGTCTAACACCGAATTAGTGTCGCAATCGGCACGTCAAGTGTGATGAAGGGCGCCCAACATGTTCCATGTGCGCATCTTTTGGTGTTATCTGTGCTGGTTACGGAAAGAAAATCTTTTTTGACCCAAAGAAATCGGACGCGAAGGTCCGGTTTCGAAGGCCCCTGCTCACTGAGGAAGAACGCGAACTTATGAGTCAGTGGCTAGTCTCCAGTGCTCCGCCCAAGTCTACATTTCAACTGCTATCCCGGATCGATCAGGAGTGCGAGAACTCGGTTCCGTCGGGTTTCCAGCTATCTCTCGGGCCGTTTGGCGTTTTCAAAGTGCAACAAGGCCATGCAACGCCCGAAGAACCCGAGTCGCTGCCTCCAATCGAGGACATGGGGGATCCTGATACATGTAGTCCAGAGCAGGACGAGCTTCCTATGCTGAGCCCATTCCCGGTCAATATCCAATGCTCACAACTATCACCATCGTTTATGCAATCCTTGCTAAGGCCACCCGAGCCACAGCCGAGCTCAAGCTCTCCAGATCTATTGGATTACTTGATGGAGCAAGGCCACCTCGACGAGACATCTTTAGTACAGCCGCAAAGATACTCCACCACTCATCTGATATCCGAGCCCTACTACCACTCACATAGGTCCCTCAATTTCCTAGCCCCCAGCTCAGACACGTCCTGTTCAGTTCCACAAGACGCTGTCGTCTTGATCAAACACTACTCTTCAACCGTTATCAGTCTCATGACGCCAGTTCGGCATAAGAAGACCCCTTGGCACATACTCTTCATCCCTCATAACAAAGACTGTCTAGCAGCTCTCGCCTTGGGTGAGGATATGAGCAATGCAAGCCTTTGCAATTTCTACGGAACTTTGGCCATCAGCGCCTTCAGTCTCGGCGGCGTTTCTCGATCTGAAACATGGCTCGAGCGAGGACAAATTTACCTCCAGAAAGCACAGGATCACGCCAGAATGATGCTCCTGACTGCCTATGACATCCCTAAACCAGCCAAATACAAATCCATATTGATGGCAATTCTCACCATGGTGCAAGTATCCACCTTCTCCGGTAATCGACACCAGGCGGAAGCGTACTTCCTAGAAGCAGAAAAATTCATTCGCTTGAAAGGGCTTAGGCGCAGAAAATCGCGAAAGGTACGCCTTTTACATCACTGCTACGTTTTCGAGCGGATGTTTCACGAAAGCATCTTCGTCTGCGCTGCGAATTCCAATCACCGGCAACATGTTCGCCGAGCGATTGAATCGAGTGGACTTGCGCCTGCGAGCGTGGATGGGCTCTCCTTTCGTCTTTACAGATGGAAGAATCTGCATAAGGAGATGCTTCGCGTACGCGATCGGGAGGAAGGGGAGAATGATTTGCACCTTGAGCGCCCAGGGCTCTTCTCAGCCACGCTGTACCCCGAAATCTTCGGCATTCCCGAAGCCTGGCTGCTTCTTCTTTCTTGTGTGATTCGCCTCGGGACAGAGAAAGATTCCGCCGAAGAACAATCCAACCCAAACAGCCTCAACCTGAAGGATTTTTTTAACCGTGCAAAGGCCCTGGAAGACCACATTAATCAACTTCAACGTCCAAATCAAGCGACCTTTACCTTGTCATCCCAACACTCCACCATTGACCAACACATTTTAGAGAACATGCTCGAGGCAATGCGTCTCGCTCTTGCCATTTACTTTTACCGTCGAATATACGACATCAACGCATCCATGTTGCAAGAAAAGGTAACCGGAGTGCGTGACTGCCTCCTGCAATGCGAGTATACCGATTCAAGCGTAGTCCACGGCTCTGCGGGCTTTATCTGGCCAGCTTTTATCGCAGCCTGCGAGGCTGATGATCCGGACGTGCAAGAAACCTTCGCGACGTGGTTTGAGATTTCTGCGCGGCGTAGCGGGTTATCCGGGTTCACGAAAACCTTGAGCTCGATCCGCAAAATCTGGCAAGAGAAGCGTGGTCAAGGGTCTAGTATGACTTGGTTGGATTTGATGAGGAAAGTGTTGCCAGTGCAGGAACATAGGGATTGGGAAGGTTCTTTTGGAGCGTAGGATGGTTGACCCTATTTTTGTAAAGAATTTAGCATTTATGTATAGGATCACGATCAGCTTTCGCAACTCATTTTGGATAATAGAGAATAAACCTTTTTTTTTGGTGGGTATAAGCACAAACTGTCGGCTTCTCTATTGACAAACTGTTTCAGTCGTCTAGCCAGCTCCAGATTGACTTACGTTTGAAATCTATCTACCTGCACAAGTCGATTGTTTTACAAAATTATCACATGAATTTACCCGCATCCAAATTTCGTTGCTCGAATACTTGCCTGTTTTTCGTTCCCGCATACCCTTGATAAGGGTGACAATTCACTAGTGGAGCAGATTCATTAAGTTAGGCAGGCTTCCCCGACAAACCCCACCACCCAGATATGCACTACACGACGCTCGATCAACTTCTTATTTTCATAGACCTCCCCAAGCTATCATGGCTCTATTAATAGAGTGTTTTTATTCTCAGAATACGTGACAAATTTCTCAATCATTTCGATTGCTTTCTCACGTGTTCATAATGGATGTCCCCGGCATCGCAATGATTACTGGTGCCGCATCAGGCATCGGGCGAGCCTGCGCGAAAGTTTTTGCCAAAGAAGGCGTATCCGGACTAGCCCTGCTGGACCTGACTGAAGAAACTCTGCTAGCCGTCAAATCTGAAATCCAAGAGTTACAGCGAACCCTCGGCCAGACCAACCCCTGCCGAATCGAGACCTACCCAACCAACGTCGCCGACGAAGCTCGCGTCAACGAGGTTATCGAAACTGCTGCGCAGACATTTGGCCGCCTCGATTATGTCGTCAACGCAGCGGGTATTGCAATGAAACACCAAGGTGGTGCAGCCTTCGCGGAAACCGCGGATTGGGAGCGAATTCTAGACGTCAATCTCACGGGGACATTCTTCGTTCTCCGCGCTGCAGCAAGAATTATGCTGAAGCAAGAACCTATCAAATCCAGCATCGATGGTCGATCCTTGCAACGGGGCTCTATCGTGAACTTTTCCTCGATTCAGGGTATCGTGGGTATTCCCTTGTCGACTGCGTATACTGTGACCAAACATGCCGTAATTGGGTTGACGAGAACGGCTTCGGAGGACTATGCAAAGGATGGATTGAGGATTAACGCTATTTGCCCTGGATATACGGAGACGCCTCTCACGACCAAGTCACCGGCTATCCTGCAGGCCATGGTGGAGCGTGTCGCGACCGCAGTGCCGATGGAGCGAATGGGCCGGCCGGAGGAGATTGTGGATGGAGTTTTGTATCTCGCAGGAGGTCGGAGTTCTTTTGTAACGGGGACTGCTCTGATGGTTGACGGCGGATATACGCAGCGATAAATACGTACATGATCAATAGATGATTTGAATTGCAAGCTATTTACTGGATGCTGCGCCGTATAGTTGAAGGCAGCCAATAAGAGTCCAGTATGTCAGTGATAAGCCAGCACCACGCCGGCTAGTCAATATTGCACGATCATTGGACGATAGTGTTACCGTTTCCCGTTAGCTTCTTCTTCACCAATAAGAGTCCCATTCTTTTCCCGATTGGTTGAGCTGGCCCCTCGTCGCGCCTGCGAATCGCCGCTTTAGGCTGAGTGACCTCACCATCTCCGCCGTCTCCTCACCATCGCGGCGAGATCTATCACAAGATCGACCACTCGCATCGGAGCTATTCTCCGCATTCCAGGCATGTCGGCCCAATCATGTCGTGGGCGAAATAAGCCCGTTTAGCCCTCGCTTCAGGCCAAACTCTTCCAAGACTCTACCTCACCCTCGCAAGCTAAGCGTGGCATAAACATGCGCAGCTTTGGATCGTCCACATCCACCTCCTTAAACACTGCGCTTCGAGGCACCATCCGACCGATAATTCAAGTCCCTAATTCAAAGCAAGCGACTTGCTTATCTATCCACAAGACCTCGCGACATCTATCAACACGATTGAGCCCACCAGGCCGTGTCTCAGCCCGCCCTATCCCGTGTCAGCTCCATCCCACGTCACCCAGGGCCACCATGAGCAGCCAGCGCGTTCCGATCGAGTCCCAGCGTGTAGACGCGCCGCTTACCTCGTCAGCGACCTTCCTCGTGCTGTCAGCAACCGACAAACCGGACTCCATCAAGACAATTCGCTCTGTCGTCGCTGGGTTGGACGACCTCGCGAAGAATGTTTCCATTCGCGACTTGAATTCTCAATTCGCCTGCACGGTCGGTATTGGCAGCGATATTTGGGATCGATTAACGGGTCTACCTAGACCTGCCGAGCTTCGCCCGTTCAAGGAGATCAAAGGCAACAAGCACACGGCTGTTTCGACGCCTGGCGACTTGCTATTCCATATTCGATCGGAGCGGCGAGACATCTGTTTCGAGTTTGAGAGACAGTTGATGGACCAACTTGGCGACTCGGTTTCTTTGGTAGATGAAACCGTGGGATTCCGATACTTTGATGTACGAGATCTGCTCGGCTTTGTGGACGGGACGGCTAACCCCGTCGGGCCGGCAGTGCCGTCATCCGTCCTCGTTGCAGAGGAAGATACATCCGTCCAGGGGGGCAGTTACATCGTCATCCAGAAGTACGTACACGACCTAGAGTCCTGGAAGTCTCTGCCAACAGAGACCCAGGAAAAGATCATTGGGCGGACTAAGATTGATAACGTGGAACTCGACGATGCCGAGTCTGGACAACGATCGCACAAGACCCTTAACACTATCGAAGATGAGAATGGCGGTGAACATGATATCCTGCGTGACAACATGCCCTTTGGCTCACCCGGCTCTGGTGAGTTCGGCACATACTTTATTGGGTACACGCGCCGGCTGTGGGTTATTGAGAAAATGTTGGAGCGCATGTTCATTGGACATCCCCCTGGACTCCATGATCGAATTCTAGATTTCTCTACGCCATTGACAGGAACTACATTCTTTGCCCCATCTGCAAGTCTACTGGCCAGCCTTGATTCAGAGTGAACGCGCGGTCTACGCACATAGCACAACCTATCAGAGCTCACAAATGTCTCTTTATAACTCTGTATATAGAGACTTTTATACGAAAAGATCTACTCGAAGAGTCAAATGCCTGTTGATTTAGTCAGAAAGAAAAGTCACTCAATTAATTGTGCTATGACCGAAGCATCATCCAGAGATTGGCGCAGAGTCAGGCCTGTTTCATTGTACAAGCTGAGTTCTGTATTGCGAGTAATCTCCAATTCCATAGGATTGAATCTAGTCTAAAGCCTGCACAACTTTAGCCCAATCCGCAAAGCCATATGCCCCAGGTACACTCTTCCCATCAAAGAGACTCGCCAACACCACACGATCCGACTGGTCACCCTCCCACGGCTCTCTCCCGTGCTGCGCAATCACATTATCATAAACCAACACATCCCCGGTCTGCCACTTGTGCAGCACACGAATTTCATCCGTAATCTTAGCCAAATGCTCCAAATACTTCTCTGGTATAACGCTCCCATCTCCATAAATTTGCTGCGTCACATTCCTCCTACCACCCGAGTTCGCCTGGTTCATCCTCCAGTACGAGGCCAGTCCAGTGAACAGCGTGGGCAGATTCGTCTCCGGTTGCGTTCTGATCGCCGGAAGTTGATGCGTCAAAACAAGCCCGTCATCCGTCCACTCCCAGGTCGTATACTTCCCACGCCCGTACCGCGCAATCTGTGCTTCTATCTTGCTTTTTTTAGTCTCCTCCGAATCACCATCGACTACATCCTTCCCAAACGCTTCTTTGAGTGTCGAGCCGCCTTCGTATTGCTTCTCGTACTTGTACGTGACCCGGCTCAGGATACCTTTCTCCGCAAGCTCATCGATAAATTCGGGGATCTCTTGCTGTGCACGGTGGAATAGCTCCAGCGACGAAGAAACAGGAGATTCTCCACCCTTGTTAGGAACATGATGCCCGTAGAAGAAGATGTACTCTGGGGCATGGGGCACCTGTGGGGACTCGTTGTGGTTGTATATCAGGACCTCCTTGGGTGCTTCATTCGCGGGTGCCACATTCGGTGCGAGCAATGGTCTATCCACCACTATACCGATGATCTCATGCGGTCTGTAGCCAAAGGCATGGGCGAATTTGCTAAAGTCCTCTGCATCGTGGATGGGAAGACCGCGGAAGAGGAGTGTGCCGTGCCGGGCGAGCTTCTTGGTAAAAGTGCCGTCTCGTTGTTGAAGAGACTTAATAGTCTCCACAATGGAGTCAAGGCTTGGTTTCTGGGGCTCCTCTGTGAGACGGAGTGCGAGGGGAATCATAGTGTCTTTGGGGTGCGGAGGTCCCAGCACACGTTGGTTGGAGGAGGGAAGCTTGAAGAGCTCGAAGGAGACGGTAGATGAGTCTGCATCACTGATTTGCAGCTTTTCAATGTTCAGTGACTCTGTAGCTGTCGCCATTCTTTTGATATGATAATTGTAAAAAGTTTGTTGGCTATAATGTATACCTCTGGATTTCAAAAAACAAAAAGGGCGAGGATTGTCGGACAATCCGACTTAAATACACTGCATAATCTCACGAGATGAGGAGAAACCCCTCCTCATTTGCACCAAAATGACGACAATTTTATTGGATCCTGCTTCCCAACGCTAAAGTATTTGACTTCTATTATCTCGCTTGCATCTACCGCGTCTAGTAAATGGGGTGCCAAGATACATCCCCAAGGCTGTGGTTGGATTGTGCCATTCCGTCGTAGACATACGTGCTCGCGGGGAGAACAGCGTTGACGTCGGCAATGTTCCGAGCACGTGGGACGAAAAGAGATCTTTTAGTTATCTATTTAAACCTGGATTTTATTTTTCAACAGCCGTCGAAAATCGTGGATTTATTGCGTACAACTTACTACTTCACCATGACTATCTCCAAGGTGGATCCCGACATACAAACCAAGATCTCGACTGTCCCCGAGGAGGACAAACCAAATGCTCCGCAAAATCCATCTCGACCTCCGTTTTTTCGGAGCACACTTTTTCAAATTCTTATTGTTGGTATCTGCGCCTTCTGTGCTCCTGGAATATGGAGTGCCATGAACGGCCTAGGAGTAGGCGGGTCCCAAAGCCCGCAACTAGTCAACGCCGCAAATGCCCTCCTCTACGCATTTATGACAGTGACGTGTTTTGCGGGGCCATGGATAACCAATATCATCGGTTTCCGCTGGACACTCGCCCTCGGATCGATTGGCTATCCCTTATACGCAGCAGGGTTGTACCTGAACAATCGCACCGGTGCAACCTGGCTCGTGTACCTGGGCTCCGTGACTTGCGGTCTCAGCGCAGGGTTTTTCTGGAGCGTTGAGGGTGCTATTGCGACTGGCTATCCTGAACAGCATAAACGGGGTCGCTACATTGCGACGTGGTTTACCTTTCGCAATTTTGGCAATATCATCGGCGGTGCAGTGTCATTGGGTATCAACCATAAGGTCAACCATCGTGGTAAAGTTGGATATCAGACATATCTTGCTTTCATCGCCATTCAATGTCTAGGGCTATTTTTTGGACTTTTCCTCTCCAATCCGGAGAAAGTGCAAAGGGATGACAATACCAGGATTGAAGCGCCTCGCGGCATCCACTGGCGAGAAGAGGCCCAGACTATGTGGCGACTGCTGAGAAGCAGGTCCATCATACTCCTCGTGCCACTATTCTGGTACTTCGGCTGGATTCAGGCCTATCCGGGTACATATCTAGCGACCTATTTCACGGTGCGATCGCGAGCACTGGGTAGCTTTATGTCTGCCGTAGTGGGTACCCTCGCGACCTGGCTCGGTGGTTCCCTTGTTGATCTCCCATGGCTGAAGAGTCGCAAACATCGCGCTGTCATCATCTTCATTCTTATTGCCCTGTTGAATAGCGCAACCTGGATCTGGGCCGTCATCATCCAGAATGAATACAGACATACCAACCCTGTCCTGGATTGGGCCGACCAGCGTGCCTTTGGCCGTGGTTTCGGGCTCTATCTCTTCGAGCGGATTAGTCTCGGCTTAGTCGAGAACTACATTTACTGGTGCATCAGCAATCTTTCAGACTCGCCTGGTGATCAAATCCGATACAGCTCGCTACTCAGAGGTATTGAGACAGCAGGAGTTGCTGTGGGATTCGGTGTGCAAGCTGTACCCACCGCATTGATTGCTACAGCAAGCATCAATTTTGGGCTGTGGTTCTTGGCTTTGCCGTTCAGTTACTATGCTACTTTGCAGGTTGTGCGCAAGTTTGAGGATTTGACGCAGAAGACTGCTAATTTGCAGAGAGAGGAAGAGGGCGTCGCGACAGTGGTAAATAATTGAGCTGATTAGTATCTCTGTATCTCGCATATGGCTAGAGTCACCGATAGATAGTCCCAGTTTACGAAATAAAAGATACAATCGCCTCATTTTTGAACCGTTATCAATTGGCATTCCGATCGAACCCCATTCAAACAAATATCTCAAAGAGAGGTTCAGTATTTCCTTGACGCAATATGTGCCAAGCAAATTAGCACCCCCCTCGTACATGGTTCTCTTCCGTCCTAGTTAGCCAATGTTCTCCGGATCTAGATCTCATATGCCGGGCTGGGAGGTGTCATGTAAATCGCCATTCTCGCGTATTATTGCACGAGTGTGGGTGTAATGAATTAGCGTTCCAGGGTCTCGGTATCGCATCCCATGGCGCTCTGAGTGAGGCTATTTACCGGTGAACGAGATCCAAATTCACCATCCCTGCATTAACCTCTAGGCCAGATTTGAAGCTGTCAAAATTAGTTTTAGTAATAAACAGCAAGTTTTTTTTCATCTCAATGGCAAATACTTTCTCCGGGTGCTGCTGATTTTGTACTTTTTCAATTAATCGCTTCATGGTTAGGCGAATTATACTCCTCAATGGCGTGATGCCTAGGCCTAACGCTTTACGAGATTTACTTCCATAGGGCGTTGATTTGCTTGCCATCAGGACACTTATCTCAAATGCCGATCCCCACTTTCAGGTCTGCCCTCGCCAACTAACCATATATAGGTAGGCGCGGTGGTGTGCTTCGGTCAACTGGCCGTGTTTTACCAGGGTTATAAGGAAGGCTTGGTCATGCAGTATGAATATCATTTTTGCTGAACAGACATTCAAACTCACATGATCAGAATGTCGAGCTCTTCAGTTTCTATTCAAGCAAAAGATAATATCATCACGGATGTGTCTATTGTCAAAGATACATATGATGGCGGCGAGCCCCTACGGGACATCTCCGGCGATGTTATCGAGGATGGTCTTCGAAGAGGTCTCAAGGGTCGCCAATTCGTGATCATCGCATTGGGTAGTATTATTGGACCTGGATGTTTCTACGGGCTGGGTTATGGGATCTATGAAGCTGGCCCACTTGGATTGCTTATTGGATTCTCTGTTGTTGGTATGTGAGAGAGGGCCGAATATGCAGACTGACGCTGACTAGAACTCAGGAGCTTCGATGTGGATATTGATGCAGAGTGTCGGTGAAGTTGCTACGCTATTCCCAGTCCACGGCGGGTTTGTTGAGGTGAGATCTTATATTCCGCTCTTATAAGAAACTCGACTTTTTAATACGTTGTCGTTATATTAGCACTGTGACCGGTTCGTGGATCCGGCACTTAGTTTTGCTGTATCATGGCTGTACTATTTCATGTGGAGCGTCTTCCTGGCCTCGGGTAAGTCAGAAATAGTCACTCTGAAATACCATTGGATTCTAATAAAGCATGAGACTGGAACAATGCAACTGTCTTTCTCAGATTCTGGATTCCCGAGTCGGCCGTTCCGGTTTGGGCTTGGTATATCCTGATCTTCGTCTTCTTCTCCATCCTCACAACTTTAGGAGTCAATTACTATGGCGAGATAGAGTACTACTCTGGCATGTTTAAATTCCTGTCACTAATCGTGCTCTTTTTCATCTCCATCCTCGCCAATGTCGGTGCATTTGGTAATGGATATGTGGGATTCCGATACTGGAAAGAACCTTACGGTATGCCGTTCTGTAGACTTGTGTTTTCTCCGAAACGGAACTGATATATTTCGATATCCCAGGGCCTATCCAGAACGGAGTCAATGGCTTCGGACAAGTCTTTGTTATGGCAGCTGCATATTACGTCGGAACCGAGATCGTTTCCGTCGCAGCAGGCGAGTCCAAAAATCCTCAGCGCGATGTTCCTAGAGTAAGTCCAGAATGACAGAATGCAATACTCAGGCACAAAGAATACTGATAAAGTATTTCAGGCCACAAACTCTATCCTCTATCGCATCCTTGTCGTGTTCATCGGCATGGCTTTCTTCCAAGGACTCATCTGTCCATCTACATCAGACGACTTGGTCCACCCAGGATCCAAAACGGCCTCTTCCCCATTCACCATCGGCTTCACTCTTGCCGGATGGAAGTCATCTGCTCACTTTGTGAACGCGATCATTCTCATTGCATTTGTGTCTGCAGCTAACGGAGTTGTGTACATCCAATCCCGAACACTGTACTCGCTAGCATTGAAACGCAAAGCACCGTCGTTCTTCGCGATAACAACTGCCAGAGGAGGTATGTTCTCACTCAATTTTTCTTCTGATAGAGACCAAGCCTAATATTTCCCTCCCAGTTCCTTACGTGGCTATCCTTTTCTCAAATATGTGGGGCTTCCTCGGCCTGATGTCCCTGCAAACCACGGCGGGTAGTCTCTTCTCCTACTTTACCTCCTTCGGGGGCACAGCCGCTTACATCGCCTGGGCTGTGATTACCATCGTGCAGCTCAGAGTGCGCGCTGCCGCAAAAAGGAAGGATATTGACGTGAAAACCTTCCCCTTCACTGCACCCGGCCATATCTCGATCTACTGGGGCAACTTCGTCTTCAATATCTTCCTCTTGTTGATTCAGGGGTTTACGGTCTTCGAGACCCCGTTCAACTACCAGTCATTTATTGCGTCATATATCAGTATTCCGGTATTCTTTTTCATGTTTGTTGGGTATAAGTGGTGGTTCAAGACCAAGTGGTAAGTCCACAACTCTCCTGCGGGTTACACCCACCCATTCAAATTTAAGGTTGGCCGAGAACTTACTTTCAAAACTTTTGTTTACAGGGTGCCCCTTGACAGCATTGACTTCTCAGGAAGACTCCAACGGTCTACTGAGGAGCAGGACAATGTACAGAAAGCATCATGGACTCGTAAGATTCTGGATGTGCTGAAGGACTAGTCGACACGATGTGAATGCTTGCTTATTCAAATGTTCAACCTAGCTGCATGGAGTAGCACTAGAGCCATATCGAAGGACACCCAATGTATTCCAATTCTCAGCGAACACAAATTGTTGTCTTCGCTTATCTCTAACAATTCCATCTCACATTTCAAGGGGCCGGCACTTTTGTAGGTAGCAGCCGCTACATTCCCGGCCGGCGATCCCATGCCACTCATCACCCCGGTATCAACTCATGTTTACCTGACCAAAGTATGCCCCAGAAATATTCAATCAAAGAGGAGTATTTATCTCAGTGGAGTTCTCCCTCTCCGTATCCTTGGACCATCGACTCTTCCTGCTTTGATTTCCACCTTTAACGTTTCCCTCCACTACCTAATAAAACCTCCCAAAAAACCCTTCAAAATGAAGCTCTCCATCTTCCTTCCCCTGGCTGCCTTCCTGACCCTGACGGCAGCCGACGTTGCCCACACTAATGATAACATTAGCTCGTGCTTGGTACTACCTCCCCGTCAATCTACTCTGAATCCACAAGGACCCTTAAATACTAACAACCAACGCAGAACCAATGTCTGAACGAGGGATCCGCCGTCGCGGGATGTCTCTCGCAGTACGACACGGATTGTACCTGCACAAGCCCGGCATTCAGGGATACTGTGCAGATGTGCTTGACGCTTGCTTGTACGGCCGATGATGCAGCAAGTATGATTAACCCTTCCTATATTCGATACGAGGACCACCCGCTAATCATTTGAACGTTTGTAGAGGCGCTAGAGCTTCATGAAGAGCGCTGTGGGACGACGCCGAGCTAGAGGGGTGTATGGTCTTGGCTTAGCATATAAGATTTGTTCTAGGATATTGGATATAATATTTATTGAATAATACGCCTTCTTTTAGGTACGAATTTATTTGTAGGTTCAAGTAAGGGGATCACCGACGTTGTAGATGGGCTATGTAGATAGCTAGGCCAGGATCGTCTTGGAGAATGCTCCTAGGAACTTAAGTGAGGGCATTTCGTTCTGTTGGATCATACATGGACCAAGCTACTGTTGAGATTACAATACTACTCTCTCCACTACAGAATACAAAGGCCAACTGTAAACCCATGGAATAAACTCCATTCGCACGAGACTGCAAGATATCAAGCTAGGTAGGCCGAGGGAAAAGGAACATTGAAACAGGCAAGGAAAGAGGAAGGTTTTAAGAGTAACATCCGAACTTCAAATTTTATCGTTCATATTCTGGATCAAACCCAAACAACATCCATCTATGCCTGAGACAGGTTCTCGTAGGCGTCGGGGAAGCGGCGCATGTTCTCCTCGATCAGACCGTGGCCACGGAGGAACTGGACGTAGGCACCATCCTGCTTGAGCTTGCCCTCCTGGCGGAGCTGAACGTACTCCTCGCGGCGGACGGGGGTGAAGCCCCAGTTCTTGGAGACGATGATCTTTTGGCGGCCGGGGAACTTGTACATGGCACGGCGGAGAGCCTCGATGGCGGTGGCGCGGTGGGCGTCACGGGTGCGGACGGACAGAATAATCTGGCCAATGTTCACACGGGCAACGGTACCCTGGGGCTTACCGAAGGCACCACGCATACCGGTCTGCAGACGATCGGCACCGGCGCAGGAAAGCATCTTGTTGATACGGATGACGTGGAAGGGGTGGACACGAATGCGCATGTGGAAACCTTCCTTACCGGCGATCTTCACAAGGTACCTAAGGGAAGATTATTAGAATCTGGGAAACGGTGATAATGAAGAAGATTCGATGTTCTCTGGTGATTGAAATCGTGGAGTCGAGCGAATGAAGAGGAAGAGTAGAAAACGTACTTGTTGGCGCAAATACGGGCGGCCTCGAGGGCCTCGGACGACAGCTGCTCATACTCGTTGGAGACCATGTGCACACAGGTGGGGAAGTCGTCAACGTTGGCCTTCTTACGGCCCAGATCGAAGATGCGGATCTTGGGGTCGGGAACACCACGGTTGAAGCGCGACTTGGGATACGGCTAGAGAGGAGAAGGACGTCAGTGAAACCGATCATTGCCAAGCCAAGAATTTCATCATTCTCCATTCAAAACGCTGCGCAAAGGAGGCTCGGAAATCTGCTGTAATCTTCTTCTCTTTTCCAGTGCCAGCAAAAAGCTTTGCCTGGCATCCAGCACCTGTCCAGCGCGCTCGTTGGTGATCGCGAGGGGTTGTGCCTCATGCGCCCATCCTCCCCCACAACCGAGCCTCCCGCACACAGGGAAAAAAATCATCGGACAACTGGAAATCGGCAACGCACCTTGTTCTTGCAGTAGCGGTAGCAGCGGGCGGGACGGCGAGCCATTGTGAGTGCTGGAAATTGGCGATATGCACTTCCTGCGAACTGGGTTTTGGTGGATGTCGTTGGGTGTCGAGGGATCGAAAGGGAAAAAGAAGGGAAGATGGGCGGGTCACGGGATTGTTTGATTTCCAAGCAGGAGAGTGGCGAAGCCCTAAGCCCTAGTGTGCGGACCAATCAGAGCCAATTTCAAGGACCCGCTTGTCGTGCTCGTAGCCGGCTCTGGTTACTCTCCGAAGTAGTTTCGAGTCGGGAATGACTCTTTGAAGGTGATCTGTAATTATGATAGGACGGTACATCGTATCGTAATAGGTGATGGCTATGATCCTCGGAATTATTGGTCACTTCTAGTGCTTACGGTATGACTCTACAGTCGGCTTATAAATCTCACCGATCTCGAGGTAGTTACTGCATCTCCGTCGGGTGCCTACGTTCTCTTCCTTATTAATCACTTCGAGGATGTCAGAGTACAAAGTACTCATCCACTGGTTTGGTAAATGCCCGTTGGGTGGCTTGTTCTTGGAGCTCTCCTAGTTCATAACTATTCGTGGATGCGCCCCGATTCCTCCGCAAGGCATTCACCACACGCCATTCCGACAACGTTCACCAGTATCCGCCTTCCCCCCTTCCGTACCTCAAGGACTGCCCATTTATTGGAGGCCAGTGAGAATATCGGAGTCACCAGCATCGAGAATGGCCATGGTGGCGCAACGGAACAGCTTACCGCAGGCAGTACCAAGCTCGATCTATGAGCGGCGAATGTTAGCATAATGGATCTGGTCGAAACGTGCAATGCTATGCGCAAGCGTCGCCAAGGGGGGTGTGGTTGGTGTCGACTCACGTTATTGCCGGAGAAGTGGTGGACAGGAGTCTTGGCCAGCATGGCGTAGTACTCCAGTTCGGACTTGCGGAGAGGGGGAGTGTTGGCAGCGATGATGACCAGCTTGGCCTTACCGGAGCGCAGAGTCTTCATGGTAGACTTGACACCCAGGGTGACCTTACCGGACTTCATCACCAGAGCGAGCCTGGCGTTGATCTAGAATTGCGACGTTAGCGATCCGATATTGAAGCCTTTGAAGATCGCGATCGGGTCGACCAGTGATGTCGATGGGGTTGACTCACGTTGTCGGAACCCTTCTTGGACTTCTTGTTGGGGGCCATCTTTACGCTTTGAAGTACAAGACTTCAAATTGATATAGAATTGTGGGTAAAGAAATGCGCTCCGGCCGGCGTGGATAGTAGAAGGAAGAGAGCCGCGCGAATGAAGCCAAACTGCAGAAATGTGCAGACTACTTCGGAGGGCCCAGTTACTCCGCTCCGTGAGCTGACCGCCTGCAGATTAAGATTACCTCACAGCCCACGTGACCGTTGACTTTGGTGGGGCCAGTTCTGAAACCGACAAGTAGTGCCTCAGGCGGGACGATCCCGTAATTTACTGGGGCTCCAGAGTAATTCCCTCGGAGATTCGACTCGAGGTTCCAGCTCGACATGAATGTGGCAATTCATGGTCTGGCCAATATGATGCGATGCACATTTCGGTCCACCATTCTTGTCTGCTAGGTCGATGTTGAAATCTCCATTCGAGTACCTTTGGCGTAGGCTATCTGCGTATCTATTCATATCAATACATGTGTACCGTGTAAATGCATAACATGATCCTACAAGTTGTTGTCCGGGTTTCCTATGAAACGCAAGTTGCGGTGTTTGATAGGCTTGCAGGGACCCGGCCGTTCGCAGTTTGTTGTCCTCGAAAGCATCCCGGGCCACTCAAGACGATCCTCATCATCCACCCAGTCTCATCTTCTCTTCTGAAGCCCCCTATGTCTATTTCTCGGTACTCACATCTTTGACTTTCTTCACCCTCGTATCTTACCCTCCCGGCCCCAAAAACCACCGTGGCTACTCTGGTATTTTTAGAAATACAGAGCCCAGAGCGTTACTCCATACTACTCCAGACAGAGTAAGGAGATCCCGCATTCCGCAGCAGAATAATAAAAAAAGAGGTTCGTCTCCAGACCGTCGTCCCATCTGTCCCCATTATTCCTCCCTTTTTTCGAGTCCTCGCTCTCCTCCCGCTCATTCCAGACCGTACTGTGTGAATGCCGCGCGAGCTTCGAATAATTCTACGCCTTCGATCTGCCATGTGGCTCGCAATCAATCTCTGACAGCAGCAGCATTCCCGCCAATCTCTCCTACCTATCGTCGCATCATTCGCATCAACCCCCCCAAGACGAAAAGAGATCAACCTAAACCCAAGCCACCGGCAAGGCGGCCCACTCGCCCTTTTTTTGACCGCTTCCCCCAATTGATCCACGACCACCGACGCCCTCCTCCACTCCAAAACCCTCCGGACGGCAGTCTATTTTCGGACTCTGAAAGGAGATTCACCCAAGGTTCGAACCAGCCCCATTTGCTTTTTATATACAATCATCGGTGCCACGGGCCCCGGGACCCTGCACAATGTCAGCAACGCCTCGCAAGCCTGGAACCCCCGGCAGTTCCAGCAAATCATCGACCGCAGATCCGCCCTCAACCAACGGGTCCACCACACGAGGACATGCACGCTCGCCCAGCGCCGCTACCAACGGTCTTAACCGCTCCCCTTCCCTCCGAGGTTCTACACCCGTTTCTGCGCGCGCCGCTGCACGAAAACCCGGCCGATCAAATCTGAGCATGTCCAACGTCCCGCGGATCAACAACGACCCCTCCGACGAGGAGGCGCGGGCCCAAAATGCCGCTCTCATTGAGGAGCTGCGGGCGCAGCTCCAAAAGGCCGAGATGGCCTCTGAACAATACCAGAAGCAACTAGGTGTCTTGCAAATGCGTCTCGACGAGGCCGTCAGTGAGCAAGGAAAGTTGGAGGACCAGACCCACGAGAAGGATACCCGACTGGAGGCGCTGAATAACGAGGTTCGGGATCAGGCTCGCCAAATTCGGGACCTGGAACAGAACCATGAGTTGGAGCGGAATGCGATGCTGCAGGAGAAGGAGCAACAGACGAGTCGGGAGGAAGAGTTGCAGGCCACTATCCAGCGCCTGAAGGACTCGGTGGCGCAGAAAAGCATACCCGTTAACGCAGAGGGTGAGCGTCAGATTTCCAGATCCTGTACGAAACCTTCCCGTGTGAAGTTGTTCAAAATGACCGAAGGAAGTTGCTAACGAATCTCGAACAGCGAGCTTCCGTAACAGATCCTCACCAGATGTCGATGGCCAGTTCGCCCCTTCGTCGCATCTCGAGCGCAGCCCCTCCCGCAACAATTCCAACCTTCTTCTCCAGAAAGATAAGCTTATCGAGTCTTTGCGACTCGAATTGGCTGAACACCAGATTAAATTGGTGGAGATGGAGAATGCAGGTGGGGGTCGTCAACGCGAGCTCGAGAAGGATCTTTTGGAGGCTCGGATGGCGAACGCTCGTCTCATGGAAGATAACGAGAGTTATCAACTCTTGCTTAGCGAGAAGACTCTCACCGGAGACTTCCATAAGGGTGACTTTATGCAGCATGTTCATCCCGATAAGCAGTCTAGCGGTGGGTTAGGCTCTCTAGCAGACGAACTCGAGTCTGTGGATGAAGCACCAGAGACCGAAGCTGGTAGCAAAATGGACGCCGAAATTAAGGCGCTCAGAGATCAGAACAAGGCTCTAACACTCTACATCGAGCGGATCATCAGCCGCGTGTTGCAGCATGACGGTTTCGAGCACGTTCTTGATCGGAATGAGGACGAAGGTGGTTCCAAGGTTACCAAGCTCGGAGAGAAGGAGTTGCCCCCTACGCCTCCAGAGAAGGATGATGCACCCAGTCAGTCCTTCCTACAGCGGGCCAAGTCTGTTGTTGCAGGACCTCCTCGCTCCCAGCCTCGATCCCGCCCAACTAGCATGATGCCCCCTCCCTCGTTGCCACACACCAGTGCCAACGAGAACCCGGATACGGCACCCAGCATCCCCATCCGAACCCAGTCAGTGCGGGCTAACCACCGTCGTACTCGCTCAGAGCAAGTCGATCCGAATGCCGCTTCTGTGATCGGGCAAATGTACCGTGGCCGGAATTCTGGTGGACCGATGAGCCCGACTGCCATGGGTCCCGGGTCGCGCCAGAGCATGTTCTCCGGCGCTGCCAGCTACATTTCCAGCCGCGCGCCATCAATGTCTAGTCAACCCGATCGGGGTGGACGCAGCAGCTCGCCTAGTGTGATCAGCGACATTCACGGCGACACCAACTCAACGGGGGCAACATCGAGCCCTCCTCGCTCTAGCAGCGGCATGAACAATTACACGGGCGCAGTAATGACTCAGAACAAACTGCGGCCACTACGTCTGGTCAGCGACGCCGCCAAGCTGGAAGAAGAAGAGGCCGCTCGCAAGAAAGCCAACCGCGCGAGCTGGATCCCGGGTTGGTTCAACCGTCCTACTAACCCGGACGAGCAGCCACAGTCGCAGCTACAGTCGCAGCCGCAGCCTTAGAAATCTTTGATCATCAATGTTCTATCCATTGAACGCTGATCAAAGAGCTGCTTTTACGTGGCTCTCATAGACTGGATGACTTGACGTGATCTCAAACCTGTCTTTACCATGTTTACCATACCCCTGTTCTTTGTGATGCACATAATGTCCCATGTCTTGAAATGTATGGTTCGACCTCGAGGAGTATGTCGGGTTGATCTGCAAGAATTTGAATTCGAAATGTCCCCTTTCTTCTATTTCCAGTTTGCCCCCGCGGTTACGTAAGGCTTTTATTACCTTTCTTCAATAGTCTTACTTCCCTGGTGGATTCCGATGTATTTTGTTATCTTTTTTTCATTTGGCTATGGTTGGCATGTCTGGACCATCATCTTGCTTTTATAGTATACCCCCTCTATTTTATGTCTACTACAAACGTTGACCTCATATCTGACACGTAGTTGCCAGTATCTTAGGCTCATGCTATGTTACTCTGCTTATGCCTCGGAAGAAAATGTCTCCTTCCGATGTCACTTGTCGCCGTTGGCATCCAAGGTTGGGCCATATAAACTGAGCATAATAAACTCTCCGAATAGCCCACGAATGGGTTGGGCTTTGGGCCGTGGGCCCCCAATTGTGCCACAAACAGTGCAAACACGTATTTATGAAAATGACGTTCTGTTCTAGACATGTAATCGACCCTTTATAAAAGGTAATTGTGGTATATTTCATCAAATTATTGTAGTTGACAGCATAATAATTATTGGATCTTCTTTGAAATAAACGGAATAGCTGAATCGAAAATACAAGGTCAAGTACATAATCCTACGAAAACATGGTGCTCCTACTAGCAAGATTATATATTTATACTACCTACTACCACCAGTTATATATAGCTAGAATAACATATAACAAGCTCCATTTTCACAAGCCAAAGTAATTTATAGTGATAAAAAATAATAGTAAAATAAGTAATCAAGGTTACAATCCATACTCAATAAGCAGATTTATGAGCGTCAAGGTCTTGGTTTCCGGCAAAAATGGGCCCATCGTGGGTTAGGCCACGAACTTAGAAATTCGGCCGACTGATGAAGCCCGAATAAGGAGCTTTCTGATCTTTCACGGCGAGACTAAGTACAGCCATATTCAGGAGAAAATGTATGATAGCAGCTTTTAGATAAGAGATAATGAGTGCATTCTCATGTACCTCGATCCCGATGTGTGAAAGACCCTCAAAACTAATAAGTGACTTCCGTATGGCTCTATGAATATTATCGTGCCTTTCGGTGTCTCGGGCCAAAAGGATTCCTACCGCGAAAAGCCTGGAGTGGCACTGTAACAATCGGAGTAAGTAGCCACCGGATAATAAGAACTACCTACGACACGCTGGGACGCAGATGGGCTGTCGGGCAGTGCTGCGATATATTCGACGCTACTAAGTAAGATGATGACAAAGTAAGCAAATGAGAGTGTTAACTCACATTGGACAAGGGATAATCAGACCTACCAACATGCAGAATCGATCGTGAGTTTAAATTTGACGCAGGACTTATGGTTACGGTTGGGATGATTTCCCTTCGTTACCATGCTGGTAGACCGAATAGTTCTTATCACCTTTAAAACAGCAACAGTTTCGTGTTTGCTATACTTCCGACCGTGTCGGAAGTTCCTATCAAGTGTCCTGACAGTCTTTCAACAACTACTACGCCCAGAGATCAGGCGCTTCACCGTCGGGAGCGATACAGTCGTTGGCCTAACTATTGTAGAAGCACCGAATACGTAATATAATATAACATGGATTCAATATGTAAAAGGCTGCAAAACATCAAGCTTTCTCGCCTAGTCAATTCCCACATCGGCGAAGCCGACCCGCGAATAAACTTCATAATCCAAGGCCTCGTCTCACCCCTTCTTACATCCTCCAACGCATCCCTGCCAACTCACCTGTACAACATGATCCTTCGAATCTCAATCACATCTGTACTTGTGATCACATTTCTGCTCCTTGCCAAGTAAGTGCACTCCACTCCAAGCAGAGGCTCATGCCTCAATAAATGGATCGAGGGTCTGCTCCATCAACATAACCAATCCAGCCCATAGCTCATCCAAAGAACTGCTCATTCCAGTGCTTCAATCTTATAGACGAGTGCTTTGATCTGGTAAGCGAGTGTCTTTCCTTATCGTCCCGATCTGGCCATATTGATCCCCATTCTCAAACACCAAGTCTAGTCAACCTAGGCAAATTGAGTCACATATGTCCGTTCGCGTCCGGATCATCGTTTGTAGTGCCATATATAAGGCCAATCCTGTAATCAAAGTCTAAAAGACTGATACTCATTTCCATTGAAGAACATCAGGTCATATGGCGATTTTTGAACGTTCCAGGTTGGATTTAAATCTCAATCACAAATCACAAGAAAATCAAAATTGTAGGTTGTAGAAGTTTGTACTCCTCCGCCAATCTTTTTGCAAAATTGTCTGGAAGTACCGACTTCAATGGCATGACAACCAGGTGGATTGACATGAATCTTTGCTGGTCTTGGCTTTTGCCGCGTATCGTTGATGTGCATATCATGCTTTGAATGTGTCGCCTGCCATTATTCGTGATGGTTCAAAATAATCCGACTGCAGAGAATGAAATACGTCCGGGCTGAGCAGCATAGCGTCCCGCGCATGTACATGTACATCATCCATTGGCATTGTCGTCATGTCCCAGCTCTGATGTCCGAATTGCGGAAGGGATACAGTGGAAGACGCCGTGGGCATAGCGGAGTCGGTGATTGGCAATCCGCCACTTAATAGGGGATCAATTGGGATACTCCCCATAGTAACCAAGGGTACCGGTGTGTCAGTAACAGGGATCTCGACTGCCTGGCCTGCACTGAATGTAGTACCGCTCTCATGAAGTGATGACGCCAGTTTCTCCTGAGTCTTATTCATCATTTGCGCCAGGTGTGCCTGCGATAATTGACAGTCATGAGAATTCCAAAACTCTTCGTGCTGTCTATATGAAGCTTCAATGACTGGCCACGCGCGCCGAACGGTGTCCATGTCACTGCAGGTATTACACTCTGCAATCGCCGTGGAAAGCGCGAGGCATGGCGTGGTGATGTACCAGCGAAAGCCGCTCCCACGAGGATCGGTGCTGAACAGCTGTGCCTTTTCTAGATTTTGCAGGGCCGATCGCAATAAAGCTGGGTCGCCTTCTGCTCGTGGTGGCGGCAGTGAGACGCCGCTGCCTGGTCGGCTGCACCGGAATGGTAGCAGCTCTGAGAGACGAATTGCCGATACAATTGATTGGGTACTATGCCAGGTGAACCAGGCATAGGGAGAAGACTCGGGATCACAGTAGTGAAGCAGCGTGAAAACTTGCTGTTGGGCTTCTCGAGCCAGTCTATGTCTTTCTGCGGCTGTAGTGGACTCGGGTGAGCCAAAGTTGAGGACTCGGCCAGCCACTTGTACGTGATATGTTACAAGAGCAAACGTCGTGTCTGTGAGATGCTCCTGCGAAGCGACTGGGTGCGTGGTATCCACATCGAAATCCGAGTCGTTGACATGTGCCACATCTGAAATTGCGCATGCTGCGCCGCTGTGGGTGATCAGAGGCTCCGATAACTGCGCAAATGATGCTTGAAGATCGACGAGGCACACAGTAAGCCACAGCCGCAGTCGCATCTGCTGTTGAAAGAAAGACTCCCGAGAACAGGCTTGTTGATCTGGCTCCTGATTCAGCCCCATGCCTTTCGCGAGTCTGACGGCTAGGGCAACGAGTGCCCAGACAGCGGTGTCTTTGTCTTCGGATCGTCTACCAATCTGCAGTGCGTTAGTGGTAGTTTGGAAAAAAAACCAGTGTGAAATCCTTACAAGATACAAAATGAAGGCTTGAAGGACGGTCATATCTCTCGTCGTCAGCAAGCCAGCCTTCTCAAAGGCACCTTCGCACATTCTGCGATGAACGGTCGTGATGCTAGACTTGTTTTGTTGAAATGCGGCCTGACACTGGTCTTCTGTCATGGTGTTGGCTGCAACATAGCAAACCGCAGACCCCAGCGCTCTCACCGAATTGTCATCCTCGGATGACCCCAGATATGACGAGGCTCCGTCCAGCATCCATTTGCTGAGGCTGGGCCGGTGTAGGATTTTGATTACTGGATCCACGTTTTGGAGGTATACCTGGCATAGTTTGCTTGCTTCAAGCTTATCACGAGGTAGTGACATGAAGCTCGAAAACAACGAATTATCGATGCCCAAAAGGCCGAGAGCGCTGAACCCGTCGCTTACTGACTCCTTGCGCCCTAATGAGTCGGTCTCTAAACATCCCTCGCTTACCCGACCGAAGAACAGCTGCATGCCATTTGTTTGCGGCAGATCATGCATCTAGCAAGATTTGAATATTGATTCTGAGTTGCCACGTTGAGCTCGTGCACTGGGTGGCCTTACCTCATGTTCCATAAGGTCAGCCAAGATGTCATTACCGGATGTCTCCGGGCTTTGTCTCGGGCAACTTTGGGTTGCTAGGGCGGGAAGCGGTTGCGTCTCTAAGCCTAGAGTCGTTTGGACCATCTGCAATACCTCACAGTCCGGTTAGCCGACAATCCCTACTCTGCTTAGTGATCCTTCCAGTTGGGCGCTTTACCATCGTATCGCCACCGAGACTTCCATTTTGAAGACTTCCTTGAGCGTCTGTATTCCTGCTCGCCTCATTGGCCCTGGATTTCTCGACCCCTGAATCTTGCAAGAGGCTCTCGAGCCTCCGGATATGATGTGACAGATCCCTCACGATGGTTCCGAAATTGATCGTTGTCGAAGTTGTGGCCAATTGTATTTCGTTGCTTACTAGTGAAACCTGAGATTTAAAGTTGCCTTTAACATCATTTTCTCAACGGTTATTTGCTTTAGAAAGCAATGTCAGACAGAAGGTGGGATGGAATTGCTTACAAGCTCCTGCAGGCCATTTCCCTCTGCATCAAGCCCCACTTTGCTTGCTTCTCCCTCCTGAACGAGACTCTCCAGCCCGTCCACGGGTGCATTGAAGCCCCCAGACTCGACTGCTGAGGCAGATCTAGAAGAATTGAAATCCCCGGAGCGTCGGTTAGCTGGAGGAGACGACGTTCCGGACCGGGCAGGGCGGGCGTGTCGCCCTCGAGGGAGTCGTGGACGATAAATGGGCATACACGCAACTCCGGAGGAGGTGCAATTAGAGCATGGCTCAAGCTTATCACACCTGAGCTTGCGGTCTCGGCACAATGCACAACTAAGTTGTGGGACGGGCCTATTCTTCTGCTGTTGGCTTGGCGAAGGGGCCATCTCTGGGCGATTTGAGCGCTGCACGGTGTTTGTCTTCGATAGCAGACGCGGCATTCTCTGTGTCCGGTCTTGGAAAGTCTATCTTCTTGGACAATGACAAGATATAGGTGTTGATGAGTATAAGTGGAGAGGCAATGGCCAAGGGCACGGTGCATCCAGGACCCACAGTCCTATATAGATAGCATGGCCGGGGATCCCGTCATCTTTTAGCATGCGGCAAGGTCGTATTACATTTTGAGTCAATCATAGGCAAAAGGACACTCGTAGTTCAGAAAATTAGTAATATTTAATACGACAATGAGCATTCTCACCGAGCTGAGTCTAGCTTTCCGACGGGTTGGATCCACGGCCTACTCCACCCATCTGAAGTACCACTCGCGGGTTTTGCAGTAGTGCCTATAGGATTGTGCCATGGGTTGTAGTTTGCTGTTCTCGGTTCGCTGCAAATCGGCAAATCTGTACATCATGTACTCGCTTGCAGGGTATCTCATAAACCTTCGGGGAGTTACTCGTAAAGCAAGCGAAGTCTGCAGTATCTCAACCTACCCCACTCACCATGCATTGCAAGGCGCGCGTTTGCCAAGACAAAAGAAATCCGTTTCAGAATATGGTAACCATCTCATGAAGGGTCTTATATGATTTCTCTAGTGACTGACTACCCCTGCCGCATCAGTTCCCCAGGCAAGATGATTTTCTTCAACCCCTTAGCCTCTCAGGTAGAGTTGCTATGACCGTATGTTTAAATCGGTGGGAGGGAATCGCATCCCAAGTGCTAATCTTTTTCATGCAGATGATGAGATGACATCCGCCTTAGTAAAGTCGAAGGATTCGACGTGCCTTTCAGTCTGCATCCAGTAGTCAGCCAGCTTTATCGACAGTATCCTTCTCGAGCGGGGTTGGGCCCCACTCATTGCTTATGCTGCGAGGCGTGAGGGAGAGGCTGGCCCTCCTTCTGCCGTCATCTTCTCATTTTTCCAAAAGTACATTTGCAAATAAATTAAATCTTATCAATGGGGGAAGATAGGTAGAAGGTGGGGACCACCGTGCAGCTCTGTTATCCCCAATATTTCCCCCCGGGGTCGGCAATGATTCAATGGAATGATATGCAGCGGTCGTCGCGGCCCCCTGTAATCCTCGTTTCCAGAAATCATGTTGAAAAAGAGTGTTCTTGCGGCTCTCGAGCTTTTCAATTTTGTATTATCGGGTCTCATTTTTGTTACGCACACCTTATCTGATGTCCTCCCCCCCCCCCCCCTGGATGAACTCTAATCATGATGCAACCTCAGATGGCCCGACGAACAGGCATGGTCAAACATGCTCTTGTTTTAGCGAATGATAATATGGCTGACCTCAAAGCTCGTGTTATTGGGTGGGTGAGACACATCTCCCGCTAAAGCTGGAGATCTGGCGCGTTCGTCATGCATCAGCATCGACCGAAATGCGGCACCACTGTGGTCTCGACTCATGACCGACTCCGTGAGGCCGGGCGCTCTCATCTGCTTATACTCGTGTTCTCCATGCAACTACCGGGATTGAAACTGCAAGCTCCGCAAAAATGTGGATCTGCCCATCCTTTTCTCCACGGCATGGAAATCCCGTGTGGACTAGCCACGAGGGTTGCTTTCGCAGGTGTTTGCTGATGGAAGTGCAGCTACTAGGGGTCTCAGCCGGCGAAATCTCGGATTGTGCTTATCCTTTGGGGTACTTCAACATTCGGATATCGCAGTCGATTGCTGCAGGTCCAGGTTAATAAACGCCGCCAAGGAGCTATTCAGGGCCCAGAGGGGGTGCGAGTGTATCAAAACTGATCTCACCATCGTATTCAAGAAGTCTTGGCTGCAGCGCTGCGCTACTGTTCTCAGTAATGGTAGCCTATAGGGATGGCTCATCTTTTCCGTTGGCAATGACAAGCTTCACTCGAAGCCCGCTGACCCGTGAACAAGAAAGTAAATGGAAAAGGGGGTTGGACAGCCACTATGTAACAGCAAGAGAAAAACAAAGACATTCGTTGGATTAAGACTCTCATGCATGTACTCATGATTTGTGAGTAAATCACCTGGGAACCAAAGCTCGCAGTACCGTCATGTCCAGGCAAGAAGGATCCTTGCCGCGTTGGCCACTCTACGCATTTTCCCATATAGTAGGGCTTATCTTTCTGTATCGACCTATCGTGAGCGAAGGCAACATTGCCACAACGTATGTTATTGCATCATAAAAGGTATGGTGGTAACGTGGCTTAACCCGGGGCGAAAACTTGCAGTAGTGAGACATCTGTTCAAATCGTGTCATTACGGACCCGGAGTGGCCTGCATTAGCGCTCGTGTGAAGTAGCGGGTAAGCTATGGGCCGGGAGATAATGCGCAAATCAGATAAATCAGTTGGGAGGATTTTAGTGTAAAAACTAATATAGTCAAGTATGGAGGCCTGCTGAGTGGCTCGTATGACAATCAATCTTAGAGGTACCGACAACGTACACTACCATACAGTACCAAAGAGGAAAATGCATGAATCATTCGCAAACTTCGGAAGTATTCAAGACCACCACTGAGAGTGGGGACTGCTAGGGCTTTCAGGCCTTACGATTGGTCGGATCAGGCTTTAAGGTGACGGTCAAAGTACCGCTGAATATTCAGCTGGGTACCGCCGTAGTGTCCCGTTTGCCCCGTCCAATGAAATCATCTACAATCAATTTTTTTGGGGGCGGCTAATAACGGCTGTATTTCCCGGTAGCCCTAATCGACCGAATGTCCGTTGGTAGTCGAGAGGGCTTAGCTAATATGAACCCAATTGAACCGGTCCGGCTTATGCCAGAATTAGAGCTTTAAAGTATATTTCCAGACATACTTGGTATAGCAATGGCCGAGGCAGATTGGCAGTATTTCACCAAGTGTATGCAGTAAGCTTAGCAAGAATTAGACTAGAGAGGAAAAGATAGGCTAATAATTCTTAGTATGCCCAAGTGTGTGTCCTCCAAACTTACTGATAGGTGTGTATCACCACTCCAGAAAGCGAGCTCTTTTTCTGATGCTGACAGCATACGATAATCGTGCATGTAATTCCACGTCGGCTATGCTTGTTATGCCCGAATTTATCATACCCCTGTTTCCTCCTCCATATGAAGAGCTGATAAATAAAAACCACGGGTTCGGGTTAAAGGGAGTGGCGATTGGCATGACCCCGGAAATCTGCTCGCACGACCTGGGGCCTGAATCTAGCCTAAATCATACAGACGGCTGTTATTTGAACAGAATACGTCAAAATCGATCATCGCTGCTAATGTGAAGGCGTAGTCTTCACTCTCTATCTCGTACAGGCTGTCCTTTCCATTCAATTGGAGATACTGAACTTGGTATTGAAATCGAGGGCTCAAAGTTCAGATCGAGACGCTCTCCAATAATCGCCCGTTGTCCCCGTCTACATCCACCGTTTCTTTCCGTCTTAGAGCCCGAAATGCTCCTCGTTGCTAGACATTCCACTTTCGCGATTTGCATAGGCAACCAAGGCATGAGATGTTGTAAGACGCTTCACGATTGATTATGGGCTTGCTTCCATGGCCAGACAGAGCTCCGGGCTGGTTGAAGAAGAAATTCTTGACTGAGTAACGGGTCCGGGGCACCGGAAACTCCGATATAGTCGCTTACTGCACTTCCTAGTAGGTAACAGCAAAGCACTGGATTGCTCCCAGATTTGTAGTCCAGCTACAGTGTGCTAGCACAACCTTTCATATTTCGAGATGGGAGTCAAACAATGGCTCAATCGTGCGGTTTCTATGATAATAAACTCGAAAGATATTCAGCACTTGTCACAGCCTCCGCCTTCACGGTGTCTTGTACTTGCCCCGACATAGTAGCTTTCAAATCGTTCGACCCGGGCTTTTGGTTCCACACGAGAAGGCAACTCGGACTCGATCTCTCCAAGTCGAGGTGGGATTTGTTCCCGAATATACGAGGTCATTTATCACTCCAGAAGGGGAGGGTGTCGGGTCGTGGACGGATGGTGATCTCTTTCCGGATAGAGGATGTGTATGATACTTTTAATGACGAATACAGTCTAAGGTCACTGGGTATTGCCCGGGCGGAAATTAGAAAAAAGCCGGGAAGAAATCTAGTCAATAATGTCCAGTAAGTCGAATTTCCGGGCAACGGGGTTATTCTTGCTGGACGATGATGCAACTGAAAACACTGCAGGGCGGACCTGCGTCGGGCCCGATCCAGGGCCGTCTCCTATTGGACAACGCATCGGGCCTTGGCGGCAAGTCCGGGCCCGAAGCAAAAGCCGTCTCCGTGATTGGCTGGCGCACATCAGCCATAGGGCTGTCCAGGAAGTATAAAACTATTCTTCAAGGGGCCAAGCCTTACTTCTTCAAGCTCACCCCAGTCGCATAATCTTCAACACAGAGATCAGTGAGACGCACAAAATGAGCGAAAAACAATCAGTGGCTTCCGAGCCTTCCACGACCGTTCCGGAGGACAAGAATGACCTTGAAGCAGGCCCCAAAACGATCGTTCCCCCCGAGCCTCCCATCGACACTGAAGAAGACAAAGATCCAAACCTCGTCACTTGGAACGGACCCGATGACCCAGAGAACCCCAAAAATTGGCCAAAAGGTCTGAAGTGGAAGAATACCTGGACGGTCTCTCTGTTCGTCTTCATCTCGCCAGTATCGTCGTCAATGATTGCCCCCGCCCTGGATGATCTCGCCAAGTCCTTGGGGATGCACAAAGAAATTGAGACATACCTGGCTTTGAGTATCTTCATTCTCGCCTACGCCATCGGCCCCATTTTCTTCGGTCCTGCTTCTGAGCTGTACGGTCGAGTACGTCTACTTCAGTTCAGCAATGTGTGGTATCTGGCCTGGAATCTGGGATGCGGATTCGCAACGACGAAAAGCCAGCTTTTTGCTTTCCGTTTCCTTGCAGGTATTGGTGGCAGTGCACCGCTAGCGATCGGAGGAGGAGCCATTAGGTAAGAGAATGACAGTCCAGCATTCACATTCCGAGAAAGCTAACCTCACTGGCAGCGATATGTGGTCCGCGGAAGAACGTGGTAAAGCCATGGGTGTCTACACTCTCGGACCACTCCTGGGACCCGTCGTCGGACCGATCGCTGGCGGGTTTATTGCCGAGTATTCAACCTGGCGCTGGGTCTTCTGGTCCACCTCCGCTGCTGCTGTCGCCGTGCAGGTAGTTGGGTTCTTCTGGTTGAAAGAATGCCACCCGGGTACACTTCTACGAAAGCGACGCGACGCCCTTGCCAAAGAAACTGGCAATGAAAACCTACACACCGCGGAGAAAGTCGAGACCCTGGGTTACAAGCTTCTTCATGCATTTGAGCGACCGGTACGGATGTTCACGACACAGCCCATTGTCTTCTGTATGGCTATCTATATGGCCTACCTCTTCGGCGTCACCTATCTGCTGTTTGCGACCTTTCCGGAAATCTGGACGGTGGTCTACCATGAAAGCCCCGGCATTGGCGGTCTCAACTATCTCTCGATCGCAATTGGATCCTTCGTCGGGCTCTTCTTCAACCTCAAGCTCGTCGACCGCATCTACAGAAATCTCAAAGCGAAGAACAATGGTGTTGGCAAGCCCGAGTTCCGAATGCCGTCCTTGGCCGTGGGGTCGGTGATCAGCACCATCGGGCTCTTCTGGTATGGCTGGAGCATTGGGAACACCCACTGGATCATGCCTAATATCGGTGCGCTGATCTTTACCATGGGCACGATTTCCTGCCTGCAAGGCATGCAAACATACATTGTTGACAGCTACCAAACCTACGCGGCCAGCGCCATGGCTGCCTGCGCTGTGCTTCGGAGTTTGTGCGGCTTCGGCTTCCCGCTCTTTGCCTCGTACATGTACGACGCCCTGGGGTACGGGTGGGGCACCAGCGTGCTGGCCTTCATCACCATGGTTATCGGGTGGGGGTCGCCATTCGTTTTCTGGAAGTTCGGTCCCAAGTTGCGTGCCATGTCTCAATATGCCTCTGGCTAGATTGGGCAGGATTGGACACGCGTAGAGAGCTGGGGAGAGTCCACAGCGGTCGAGAAGGGGGATTGATTTTCACACGGATTGAATCAGCCAGGTTGATTTTGTCACTGGGAGGATGGACAGACGGGCAGACGGATGACTCGGGCATTGGTATTATTATCCAGTTGCCATGGGAAAAAATCACTCCTCATGAATATTAGATTGCTATGGTTAAATTAATTCGCTAATGACATGTCCTATGCGCCATTCGCTCTCATTCAGATAGGAACGGCCCATAGAACCGGAGGTTAGTAGCACTCCGGCTCTATGCGAGCACGCACATGTATTGTTGTGAGATTTTTATACCTCTGGCCCTGATTCTAGTTACAGGCCTTCTGCATCATAATCAAGCTGGAGCTGGTCAGAATAGCCGTGACGGCGAATCTAATCATGGAAGGAATCGGTGCATCTACACGTTTCTGCCTCAATTTACATCACAGTTAGGAATGAACTAAGATAAATGATGAAACAGCACATGGTGAAATTCTTCCAAAGCCGCCACTCTGAGAGCCTGTAACACCCCTTGCCACATTCGCCATTATTACTATATCGCGCATAGGGAAGAATAGTTTATCACATCTCTGGCAATGACACAATTCATGGATGCAGTGGAGTTTGGCCCAAATGACGTGGAATAGTACAATGAGCCATAGAATCAGTATTGGGGTAGATTTAGGAGTAGAATGAGTGGAGGTAGCCATGCTAGCAGAATGGATGGCAGAAAGACAAGGTTGGCCGATGCGCGGTGGACTGAAACGACCAGGATACCCTTGGCAGGTAGAAGGGGGGCCGTCGCCGTCCACGGGGATTTCGCTCTCGCAACTCTCTCAATCTAATTTGAATGGAGAACGTTTACCACAAATCCGACTGCCGCCCCCATTGAGACCCCTGCACGACATGCACAGCTCTGTGAGAAGTCGCTGCCAAACCCGAAACACCGATGGACCGCATTTTACAATCCGGATTCTGCTGGCGCATTAAAACCCGTAGTCTACAGCCGATCCACATCGATGCTCCGATCCAACGCGGGCACGAATCCTCGATCGGGCCTTCGTGATTCGTGCGACTCTCAATTGGATCGATGATTCCAAGAGAGTCGTAGGTCAGGCCAGCCGATAAAAACCCCTCGCTTCTACGCACGAAATTGTTCCCCCGCAGTAACTCATTTCAGCTTCTTGTCGGGGTTTTTTTCTTTCTTTCCAATCTATTCTCGACTCCAGTGATCAAAATCCATAGCGGTCATGGGTCAGTCCAGCTATCTGGAGGGCGTGGACTCTGCTCTCGTCGTGAAAGCTCTCGCTGGTACTTGGGCATTGTGGTACCTCTGGGGTGTCTTCTACAACATTTTTCTTCATCCTCTGGCCAATGTTCCGGGACCGTTGCTGTGTAAATTCAGCAAGATACCCTGGGTATGCTAACCTGGTCCTACTCCTGTTTCTCCTCTATCGCCATTACTCACCTACAAGCAGGACTACTGGCAATGGACCGGTCGCCTTCCCCAGCACACGGCCAAGGTGCACGCCCAGTACGGCGAGGTTGTCCGAATCGGCCCCAACGAACTCAGTTTCACCAACAACGCGGCGTGGAATGACATCTTTGCCAAAGTGCCTGGTCGCGCACAGTGGCCGCGCCACCCCAAGCGGGTGCCCCAGGGCAAGAATGGTCCTCAAAGTATCATGAACACTGCGGGAACCTACCATGCTCGTTTCCGCCGACTGCTGAACTTTGCATTCTCCGAGAAGGGTCTCCAAGAGCAGCAACACCTCATCACCAAGTATATCGATCTCTTCATCAACAAGGTAGACGAGTTTGCGCAAAAAGGCCAGTCAATTGACGTGACCAAGTGGTTTGTGATGGTGGGCTTCGACGTCATCAGTGACCTGGGCTGGAGTGAACCGTTCAACTGCGTGGAAAATGGCCAGGTTCACGAATGGGTTGAGTCTCCCTCTCCTTCCCCTTCCCCCCGCCGTGCTGACACGGTGACACCAGATGAAAACCTTTGCCGAGACCGCCTTCGATACCCAGCTCAAGTTCCTCTTCCGTGAGCGAGGGTTGATGTTCCTGGCACCGTACTTCATCCCCATGAAGCTCCAGCTCGCCCGTCTCAATAACTTCAAGTATGCCCGCGCTCGAGTCGAGGATCGTATCAAGACGGGCGGCACCCGCGGAGACTTCTGGGACAGGATTGCGATCAAAAGCGCCGACGACAACGCAGGCGGCGAGGGCTTGACTAAGGAAGAGATGATCGTTGCCGCTGTGACCCTGGTGGGCACCGGCTCCCATACCATCTCAACGCTGCTCACCGGTCTGGCTTACTTCCTCGGTACCAACCCTCATGCCATGAAGTCGCTCACCGATGAGATCCGTTCTTCCTTCAACTCGCCCGAGGAGATTGACCTAGTCTCCGTGCACAAGCTGAAGTATCTTACTGCGTGTCTCAACGAGACTATGCGGCTGTACCCACCAGTCATCAACATGCTTTGGCGAACCCCGCCCCGTGGCGGTGGTTACGCCTCTGGCATTTTCATTCCCGAGGGAGTAAGTGCTGCCTTGTGGTTCTCTCATCTTCTACATTGTTAATCATGACGCCTATAGACGGGATGCAACATGTCCTTCTTTGGAATTGCCCAGAACCCCGACTACTTCACGCGCCCGCTCGATTTCTGCCCCGAACGCTTCATGCCCGACCCGCCGGCCGAATTCCTTGGTGACAATCACGAGGCATATCATCCGTTCAGTTTGGGCGCGTACAACGTAAGTTGAGCAATCACAAACAGCAGGGAGTTTTATCTTGGCCGGGAGTATGGACTGACTTGTCTTCGTGCGTAGTGCCTGGGCCAGAACCTCGCCAATGCCGAGTCCCGATTGATCATGACCAAGCTTCTGTGGTACTTTGACTTTGAGCTGGATGGCAACGTCGACAAGGATTGGCTGGATCAGAAGTCATTTGGCGTGTTCATCAAGAAAGATCTCCCGGTGAAATTCCGCCCCGGTCCCAATGCGAGGAGCGGCGTAAATGGCAAAGCTGTCAAGATCAATGGCCACGCAAACGGTGCCACAAACGGTGGCGCGCACTAAGCTGGGTATCATACACTATTATAGCAATACACGAAGGTTTTGAGGCACGTGGAAGTTGTGGGAAGAACTCGGCGAGTGGTGGATGATTGGTGGACGATTGATGATACTACGCAAGAGCGTTTCGAAGTCTTTGGTGGTGATGATGTATCTAGATATCTTGTTCTCCTCTCCACAGATACGGAAAATAGATCATGGGGTTTAGGCTGGGCGTGCAGTCCTGTCCGCTTCTGCTCGAAAACTCTCTTGCCAAAAATCTCCTGTCTCTTAGTATCCAGCACAAAGTAACCGAAAGGCCACCGGATCCTGCTCTACCCTAGCCCTTGCCTTACCATCCCCCCTCCCCTCAGCACGATGGGGTGTTCGCGTGTCATCTTCCCAATCTATTGGTAGTATCGGACTAGGAGATTTTGCCACGATGGGGATCTGAACGGGTTTAGTGGACTCTGTGTCAAAACCCGAATTCCACGACCCTGTCGACTGTGGCCGATTAGGGCCGATGACAGGTTCAGTGGTAGGGGCGGGCATCTGGCCAGGATCTTGGAGCCTAGTGTCTACTATATCGGGCTCACTAGTTCGGGTTAGGGTATTAATGATCGCCTCGCTCCCTGGCAGGTACTATCAACATTCGAGCCTCGCCAAAATGACGACCACTTCTATTACCAGTATGACCGCCCAAGTAGATGGTGTCAAGAGCCCCGCTTCGTGGAATGGCAAGTTGAATGGCAAAATGAATGGAGCTACCGAGACAGTCAACGAGTGGAGTGAGCCTGGGTCGGCTGCCTTTGACTTTCGCAGTATGCTCCCGACCCCCAACTACTCAACCTTTGATGCCACTGTTATTTTTCCTGGTCAACGGGCGCCACTAATCTGCCAGTCTTCTGCTACAGGCGATACCGTTACACGGCCCACAAAACGGATGCTGGCTGCTATAGCAGCCACCACGCTGCAAGACGATGACTTCCGAGAAGATCCCACGACCTTGGGGTTGGAGGAGTGGATTGCAGAGTTGACGGGCAAGGAGTCAGCACTGTTTGTGATCAGTGGTACGATGGGCAACCAGCTGTGTGTTCGAGCGCATCTAAAGAGCCCGCCAAATAGCGTGCTCTGCGACGCTCGCAGTCACCTCGTCACGCACGAGGCTGGCGGGGTAGCCAGTCTGAGTGGCGCGATGGTGAACTGCGTGAGTCCGGCCAACGGACTCTACTTGACGCAGGCCGATGTCGAGGCGCACTTTAACCGCGGGGCCTTGATTACTGACTGTCCCACCCGGCTAATTGTCCTCGAGATCCCCCTAGGTGGCGTCATCATGCCACTGGCCGAATGTCGCCGCATCAGCGAGTGGGCGCGCGCCCAGGGCATCGCGCTGCACCTGGACGGTGCACGACTGTGGGAGGCCGTGGCTGCTGGGGCAGGGTCGTTGCGTGACTACTGCTCCTGCTTCGATAGTGTCAGTCTGTGCTTTTCCAAGGGGCTGGGCGCCCCAATTGGCTCCGTGTTGGTCGGGTCGAAGGCCTTGACCGAGCAAGCCCGGTGGATCCGCAAGAGCATTGGCGGCGGCATGCGCCAGGCCGGGGTCGTGTGCGCTGCGGCCCGTGCCGCCGTCGAGGACACCTTTCGGGGCGGACAACTACAGCGTGCCCATGAGCGCGCCCGCGACATTGCTACCTTCTGGGAGACCCACGGCGGCCGCTTGGTCTATCCTGTTCAGACGAATATGGTTTGGTTGGACCTCAAGTCCGTGGCCTGGAGCCCCGAAAGGTTGATTGAGCGCGGCGCGGAGCTCGGACTGAGGTTCATGGGTGCCCGCATCGTCGTGCACTACCAGATCAGTAACGAGGCCATAAGCCGACTGCAGAGCCTAATGCGGGAAATTCTGTCCACTTGACTGATTACATGCTTTGGCTAGAGACTATATGCAGACATAGATGGGGCTGACGTTGATGCAGGATTATTTGTACTAGATGATTTTTTTTTTCTTTTTTTTTGGGTTACAGAATTGACATTAACTAGCTTTTGCTTCTCCTGGATCTCACTAAGCAGACCGCCTACTGTATTTGCCCGCCGATGAACACCACAAAAACCTATTGTCCAACCTGGGTATAAGTATAATTTGATATAGAAAGGTAGTTCTCCTCAAGAATGTTCGAGACGCCTCCTTAGAAATTCCAATGAAGACAGAGGAATACAAGCTTTGGAATAGGCAGAATCATCGGCGGTCTGGCTGGTGTGAGGATAGGGGAGCAAAAACTACGTAATGTCACGGCGCTGTACCGTCAACAACCCACCACCCTGGGCCCACGCTTAAGGGCATTTCCATCCCTGAATGACTACTACTATTCAAATGGAGTCCCGTAAGCCCAAAAGAAAGTCGAAATTCCCCAGCGAGTGACTCCATCGTTTTCGTCTACCGTTGCTCAATGAGACTGTGTGCCTGCTTACCTGATATTCGGAGGACGAAGATGGCAGTGTGCTGTACTAGTAAATAACATTGGCGCAGGTCCATTCTACCGAGTATAATAGATACATATCTCAAGGGCTTCAAACTACAATCGCGTCCTTCCGTTCCATCCCACCCGTGAGGATCGGCAATTTCTCCTGCTGTTCATGCGTCTCCCGAAACACGTCAAACTTCTCATCGTGCCATTGCTTGGCCGAGATCTTCCGCCCGGTGCTATCAGTGAACTGCGTATCGTTCGCCGCTCGCAAAAAGTACGCAATGCTGTAACGGTCCTCGTGCTGCAGACGCTCCATGGGAATGACCCGATGCACGGCCGACTGAAAGCGGTTGCCCGACAGGAAGCGAAGCGTATCGCCCACGTTGATGACTGCATGGCCTTCTCGTGGAGCCACGAAATGCCATCCCGCGGGGTCCTTGGATAGCACCTGCAGCCCCCACTGATCGCACAGCAAGAAGGTCAGGGTCCCGATGTCCGTGTGTTTGTTGTGGCCCACACCAAGGTCGAGCGTCTCCTGCTTGGGGTAGCGGAACATCGACAGCGTGGTGAGGGACTCGGCATCTTCACGGTGGAAGTCCTTGAACGAGGCACGCTCGCCGCCCAGCCCGAGCTGGCGGTCAAGCTCTTGCAGGACAACCATAAAGACCCGATGGGTCATGTTACAGAACCGCTGGAACAGCTCCTTGTTTGCGCGAATCGCAGGGGCCAAGGCGTCGCTGTCGCTGTGCAGCTCGTCGCGCGACGCCTTGAGCGATTCATAGTAATCAGGCAACGACACCACTGCCCCAGTGGAGGTAGCCACTGGCTCATATCTGCGGATGCCCCCAGAGCGGCTTGAGTTAGACATGGACACCCATGAAAGAAGGGGATCGCACGCCAGCTTACCCGTGTGTATCGCTCTGCCGGTCATCCTTCATCTTCTCGGCCAAGTCTTGGTGGAAATACTCTTCCATAAAGCGCAAGACGGACCTGTGGTCTTCCAAGATGGCAGGTTCGCCGCTCAAGTCCAGGTAAAAGAAACCCTGTCCCTCGCATGCAGCAAGCAGTCTCTTGCCTTCATCAGTATCGCCCGACTTCAATCTCCCCCAGTTTATCACCGACAGCGGTGCTTCGGGTAAAACAGAGGTCATAGTGCTGGTGCCAGACAGGCTATGATTGCTTGGAATGGTACTAAATGCCACAATTCACAAATATGGAGGAATGGACGCAAACGATTCTTGCCTGACAATTCAGCACTGGAGGTAGTTGTGCGCGGCGTGGCCGGCAGGCTAGCACTTTCAATGGGGCTTCATAAAATAAAGACCACGGATTTTGGTCGCTGACAGGGAACAAATCAGAAGGAGAAACGGTCACAGCTCGTCGAGGGAATTGCCTGATGTCGGACCTTGTTTCGACCTTTCTTTTCCTCTCAGTCCGAACACCAATCTACGCCTCCGCCTGCCACCCCGTTCCTCGTCTGTTCTGTCGCGGTTTTTTGAAGCAACCAAGAAAGCTCTACTTCTCATTTTTTGCCAGACCTGATCAGTGTGTACCTTCTCCTTCTCCTTGGCCCCCTTGGCCCCTTCTCCTGCTATACAGGTGGGCTTGCTCCTTCGGGTTTTGGGTGAAACCCTAGAGCTGACATCGGATTTTACCGCAGCAGGGGCGCGATCCACTGCTTATTCACGGATCAAACGGCGACAGCATCAGTTAGGGCCGTATGTCTCTTGTCAGATCATTGTCGGTTCAGGGGTGACATGTCTCTACGGCCGCGAATTAAAAGCCGCACTCAACGAAATTTGTGTACGATCCCATTATATATACGTCATACGACGAGGCTTGCCCTGCTGCTGTTCAGAGGTTACTCAACGTAGGCCTCCTTGAAACATGGGGCAATTTACTGAAACTGACGGGACAAAGTCTGCCCAAGATGTCCCTACACCCACATTGCTATACTTTGGTAATGAGTTCCCCAGCGATGACGTGAATGAGATATTCCGCCGCCTGCAGCAGCATAGCAAGGACCGTCGATTTAGACTCCTCAATGCGTATCTGGAGGACTCGATCTTGGTCCTGCAGGATGAGTTTGCCAAGCTCCCACACTCCGTGAGGAGCCAAGTGCCGCATTTCGACAACATCGCGACTTTGTCCGAGATTGGCTATTTACGTGAGCTGGGCCTCGGTGCGGCCATGGAAAGTGCCTTTCTGCTAATATTGCAGCTTGGTTTATTTATTGGGTAAGTAGCTTTCTGGTTTTCCTGGGTCACATCACATCTACTAACGCATAGCGTAGACATCACGAGGCTATTGACAGCGAGTTCGATCTTCCGAAAGATGTCACCACCGTGGCTGGCCTCAGCGTAGGTCTCTTCTCCGCGGCCGCCCTGACCCTTTCCAACTCGCTTGCGGAGGTGGTGAAAAACGGAGCCGAATGCCTCAGAGTCTCTTTTCGACTCGGCGTCTACGTCGGCGACTTTTCCAGCAAGTTGGAGGCCCCGCAGCCAGAGGGTGCACTTGCCAGCTGGGCTTATGTTGTTACCGGCTTGAACGAGGATTCAGTCCAAAACGAGTTGACCCGTGTCAACGAAGAGTTGGGAAATCCCGAGGTCTCCAAGGTCTTCATTAGTGCGGCCGACAAGTCCTCTGTGAGTGTCAGTGGACCGCCATCACGTATCAAAGCGGCATTCTTGCATTCCAGCGACCTGCGATACTCGAAGTCTCTGGCTTTGCCCGTGTACGATGGCCTCTGCCATTCCAGCCATATCTACAGCCAGGATGATGTCGATGCGGTCTTGAGCATCTCGGACTCCCTTATTCCGGCCACGCGGCCGCTGCGACTGCCTCTTCTTTCGTCACGGACAGGGAAGCCCTTTACAGCCACCACGGCAGGTGATTTACTTTCAGAGATCGCCACAGAGTTGATCACGGGCGCCATTTATCTTGATAACATAATCAAGGGTATTCAAAGCCACATCGGGGCTTTTCCCGGGGCGAATATATGCCGCATCGACTCCTTCCGCACTTCAATCATTTTCAAAGGCATTTTGGATGCCATTGCCGCAAGCCATCCCGAGGTAACCATCAAGAAAAATGACCTGGTGGATTGGGTGCACAAGGATTTTGGTACTCGCCGTCGTAATGATCCTGCGAATTCCAAATTGGCCATCGTTGGCATGTCATGCCGCATGCCTGGTGGAGCGAACGACCTTGAAGAGTTCTGGGAGCTGCTGGAACAAGGCCGTGATGCCTGCATAACAGTGCCCCCGGATCGTTTTGACCTGGAGACCCATTACGACCCGACCGGCAAGACTGAGAATGCAGCTCAGACCCCCTATGGCAATTTCATCGACCGGCCTGGCTATTTCGACGCTGCATTCTTTGCAATGTCTCCTAAAGAGGTATGTGTCCAAAGTCACGGATGCAGGGACCGAGGGCTAACCCATTTGGCAGGCTGAACAAACAGACCCAATGCAGCGGCTCGCTATAGTCACTGCATACGAGGCCATGGAGATGGCTGGTCTTGTGATCGGACGTACACCATCCACCATGCGTGACCGAATCGGCAGCTACTACGGCCAGGCCAGCGACGATTGGCGAGAGTTGAATGCGTCGCAGAACATTGGCACCTACGCCGTGCCCGGCGGTGTGCGGGGTTTCACCGTTGGTCGCATCAATTATTTCTTCAAGCTCTCAGGTCCCTGTCTTTGTATCGATACCGCATGCTCGAGCTCGATGGCTGCAGTGCATGCGGCCTGTATGGCTCTCTGGGCGGGGGATGTCGATGTCGCATTGGCCGGCGGCGTCAACATTATCACAGACCCGGATAACTACGCTGGTCTGGGGAATGCCCACTTCCTCTCTCCCACGGGTCAATGCAAGGTCTGGGATAAAGGAGCGGATGGATATTGCCGCGCGGAGGGAATCGGCTCGGTGGTCATCAAACGCCTGGAGGACGCCGAGGCCGACAATGACAACATCCTGGCAGTCGTGCTCTCGGCCGCGACGAACCATTGCGCAGATGCCATTTCCATCACGCACCCTCACGCGGGCCACCAGAAAGATAATTGCCGCCGTGTTCTGCGCAAAGCGGGTGTCAGTCCACTGGAAGTGAGCTATGTTGAGATGCACGGCACCGGCACCCAGGCCGGTGATGCTATAGAGTCAGAGTCCGTCTTGGACGTATTTGCACCTGTAAAGCCGCGCCGCCGCCCAGATCAACGGCTATATCTCGGTGCCGTGAAGAGTAACATAGGTCATGGTGAGGCAGCTGCAGGTATCTCCTCGCTGATCAAAATGCTTCTCATGTTCCAGAAGAATGCCATTCCCCCGCACATCGGCATCAGGACGGAGGTCAACCCGACGCTCCCTAAGGATGTGGAGCGGCGCAACGCTGGGCTGGTATTCCAGACTACGCCATGGACTCGACCCGAAGGCAAAAAGCGCACTGCCGTGGTCAACTCCTTTGGTGCCCATGGCGGAAACACTACGCTGTTGCTTGAAGACGGCCCGGTGCGTCAGAGGAGACGCGTCAGCCCTGAGAGTGCAGACGGACGTAACGCCTACGCAATCGCCCTCTCCGCCAAGAGCAAGAGGTCGCTGCAGGGAAATCTCAACAACCTTCTTGCCTACCTTGAGCAAAATCCAGACATCGATCTGGCGGATCTGTCGTACACGACTTGCGCTCGGCGAACGCACCACAACCTGCGAGTCGCTACTGTAGTGTCCAGTGTTTCTGGACTGCAGAAGTTCCTACGATCATCTATTGACAATGATGTCGCGACCACGGTGCAATCGGTCCCATCCACCTTACCTTCCGTGGTGTTTACCTTCACCGGCCAGGGCGCCTCCGACCGAGTGCTTTGCCAAGGGCTATTCGACGAGTTCCCGGCGTTCCGTACCCATGTCTTGCAGCTAGACCAGCTCGTCCAACGTCTGGGCTTCCCATCCGTCGTGCCTGCTCTCACAGGCAGCACTGACGACGAGACTTTGTCTCCAGTGGTGAGCCAGCTCAGCATCTTGGTCTTGGAAATTTCTCTCGGCCGTTTCTGGCGAACTCTCGGAATACGACCCAGCGCCGTAATCGGCCACAGCCTCGGCGAGTATGCAGCTCTCGAAGTCGCCGGGGTGCTCTCCGCTGCGGACGTACTCTACCTCATCGGCCGCCGTGCGCAGATCACCGAACAGCGTTGCACGCCCTACAGCCACGCCATGCTGTCAGTGCTGGCTTCACCCGATGACATTGAGCGACTTCTTCGGCGAGTGCCTGAGACTTCCAACGTGGAGTACGAAGTAAGCTGCCAGAACACTCACGAGGACACCGTTCTCGGAGGTACGAAGGCCGACATCGAGTCTATCCGCAAGGTGCTCGAATGCAACAGCTATAAATGCGTTCCGCTGGCGATCCCGTTCGCTTACCACACGTCTCAGATGGACACGGTGGTAGAAGAATTGGAAAAGATTGCTGAGAACATACCATTCAAAGCCCCCAGCATCCCCATCCTGTCCACCATGCTCGGTACTGTTGTTTTCGACGGCAAGACCATCAACCCGACGTATCTACGCCGCCAAACCCGGGGCACGGTCAAGTTTGCCGCTGCAGTTGAGGCTGCACGGGATATGGGCCTTGTTGACAATAAGACGGTCTGGATTGACTTGGGCCCGCACCCGGTCTGCATCAGCTTTGTCCGCAAAATGTCTCCGGAGTCGAGGATTGCGGCTTCATGTCGTCGAAATGAAGAAAACCTCTCTACCCTGACCAAAAGTCTCGTGACGCTGCACCTGACAGGCATCACTCCGTCTTGGAACGAATTTTTCCGACCCAACGAGCAGGCATACGCATTGATCAATCTGCCCAAATACAGCTGGAACGAGACTAACTACTGGATTCCATACCTCGGAACTTGGACGCTTGACAAGGCACTCCTTAAGTACGGTGCCACACCCGCAGGGGCCAAAACATCTGCAACACTCCCTGCGACAGGACTGCGAACCTCAACGATCCACCAGACGACGCTCGAGAATATCGAGTCCACGAGTGCCACACTGCACTTGTTGTCCGATATGCAGGCGCCCGAGTTCCGTGCCGCCATTCACGGACATACCATGAACAACTGCGGCGTAGCCACCTCGTCTATTTGGACGGACATGGCGTTGGCAGTGGGTGAATATCTGTATCGCAAGCTGGTGCCCCAGGCAAAGGAGGTGCACATGAATGTGTGTGACTTGGAGGTTCTGCACGCCCAGGTCAGCAGCACGGTCAAGGGGTGCTCCCAGCCACTTGCACTCGAAGCGAAACTGGACCTGGATACGCAGTACATGTCGCTGGAATGGTACAACGTCAGTGCTGACACGGGAGAGCGAGCCCCCGAATGGTTTGCCTCGGCTGGGGTCCAGTTTGAGAATCCAGATGCCTGGACCGCCGAGTGGAATCGCACGGCGCATCTAGTCCTGGGGCGAATTGAGACTTTGCAGCGCCTGGCTGCCGACGGTGTTGCCAATCGCATCTCTAAGCGCCTGGCATACACCCTGTTCAAGAATGTGGTCGATTACTCTGACTGGTATCGCGGCATAGACAACGTTATCATGCATGAGTACGAGGCTGTTGCCAATGTCACACTCAATCCAGATCGTCATGGCACCTGGCACACACCACCTCACTGGATTGATAGCGTCTGCCACCTGGCGGGTCTGATTATGAACGGCAGCGATGCCTCCAACACACAAGACTTCTTTTATGTCACACCGGGCAGTGATAGCTTCCGCCTGCTGAAGCCTCTCGAGGCAGGAGCTAAGTACGTCAGCTACGTCCGGATGTTCCCTCTGCCAGTGGAGGCCGGCAACATGCACGCGGGTGACGTCTACATTATACGGGACGATGTTATTGTCGGTGTGTTGTGCCAGATTCGCTTCCGGCGTGTGCCGCGGCTGTTGATGAGTCGTTTCTTCTCGCCTCCCAATTCTGACAATGCCGTCGCCAATCACGCGCCCGCGGCTCAAGGAACTCAAGTCCACAGTGCCCCCGCAGCCACCAAACAGTCACGGCGGCAGACTCATGTGCCGGTTCCGTCCAGCCAAATTCCGAAAAAGAAGCCTGCTGCAGAACCCAGCCATTCACAGGTTCATGCAACGCCCACGCCAGTAGGTCATGATCAGAGTACTAGTGCCGGTCGTGTAAGCGATAGTGATGGCACTGTCTCTATGAGCAGTGATGCTTCGACCGCCGATACTACCGCCACGCCTCCCGAGTCGGCGGAGAGCACCGACTCCAAGCTGGTTGAACAGTGCATCAAGATCATTTCGCGAGAGACCAACCTAGACACGAGTGATCTGACAGCTGACGCCACCTTCGCCCAGCTCGGAATTGACTCCTTGATGTCCCTGGTGCTGTCAGAGAAATTCCGCAATGAAATAGGCATTGATGTCAAGAGTTCTCTGTTCCTCGAGTGCCCGACAATTGGAGAGTTGAAGGAATGGATTGATCAGAATTGTTGAGCATGCGGCTCCCGATGTGACTGGATTGCTTCGGCATCATTTTATATATGGTTTTCTCTTCTTTTTCTTTTCTTTTCCTCTGCGTTTTCCTGTTTCTTTTCTTGCTTTTTTAACATCGTTTTGCAAGTATTTGCATGCTACTTTGGCTAAAGCATTCGAGAATCTGAAATTGAGAAAGTCATCCCCCATTATGCGTAAATCTCGTGCCTATATAAGCCCTAAGGATGATAGAACACAAGACGATTAGGAGCTGCCGTAGTCAGAAGCTCGTCCTGCGGCCTAATTCAATACTATGACATGCCGCAGTAAGATCGACCAATCGCGACGGGTAGGCTTTTAACCCGATCTATTATGTTGGTGTTAACGGAATCGATCAACTTATGCTAAATAAACGAGGCGTATCGGTTGAAGCGGTTCTATAGCTGACTCTGCAGGGAAATAAGCCGTTTAATTCATTTGCGTGGAGCACTCTGCCTATTCGGCAGACCAGCCAGTAGGGAGAATTCCACCAGAAGGTGTTGGACGGCAGGGCATTGGGCATAAGATCGATCATTTTGAGAAACCCTGGCTTGAGATTTATATGATAGGTTATATTATCCTCATATGGGACTGTCCCATCTAGCCTTGGCTTAAGACGAACTATTCTAGCCAGATTACTTACATCAAAGTAGTCTCGATATTTGAACTTTGACCTACGGCAGATTTATCCATGCTATAAAACGTACACTCGTATAATCCATTGATCTTGCTTGTATCTACAGTTCTTCCAATCCAACTCAATTCCGACTTGCCCAGTCCTGGAACCACTGCAGACACTCGATATTCACTGCACCCGATCCCCCGGCATCTGCAATCTCGACCCCACTTACTATCTTCTTCACCAATACCTCCACTTTCTTCCCGTTCGCCGTCACTGGAATCTCCGGACACTCGTCGATAAATCCAGGAACATGTCGCGGCGAAAGCTCCTCCCGCACGACACGGCGGATTGCTTCAGCCAGGGCTGGCGTCCAGTGCTGATCCTTGCGCATCTTGACAAACAACACGACCGTCTCGTCGGAATCCTGCTGCCGACGTCGGCCCACGCACAGCCCGTCCTCAATCTGCGCTGCGAAACGATGCTGTAGCAAGTGATATATCTCTGCGCTACCAAATCGCACTCCGCTGGGGTTCAGTGTCCCATCTGACCGGCCTAGCATGATCAGCCCACCCGTGCGCGGATTAATTTGGATGTGGTCACCGTGGGCCCAGACCCCAGGGTATTTGGCGAAGTAGGAGGAATGATATTTTGCCGGACCCGAGGGGCCCCAGAATTGGATCTGCAGGATGGTTAGCAAAAAGGGGGCGGATGAATACATATCAAGGATGGAAACTCCCAGATAGAACCGTGGACACTTACCGGTTGACTTGGAAATGCCTTCAAACAAACCAATTCCCCCGGTTCGCCAGTCGCACTCAAATCAGTGCCTGTAGGGCCTTTGACCTGAACTGCCAGGCCCAACGCAATGGCTTGAATTTCCCCGGTGATCACGGGCTTCAAGGGGGAGGGTACGCCAAAGTCGGCGATAATGTCCGTCCCGCCCGAGATCGAGCCAAGATTCACCTGCGGACCGAAAGCTTGATAGATGTAACGAAATGTTGACGGGCCAAGCGGCGAGCCCGTGGAGTAGACGGCCTTGAGCGTCTTCAAGGATAAGCCCCCTCCTGCAGCGGTTCTGGGCCAGTGCTGTCTGCGCTCTAGCATGGAGAAGTACGTGGCGCTGGCCCCGAATTGGGTGACACCAAGCTCGTCGATCAACTTCGGCATGGCGAGCTCGTCTTTCATCGAGATTTTCTGGGAAACGGAGGTGTAGTAAAACGGCGACCCGTTATACAAAACTACCGTGGCTCCCGAAGCTAGTCCTGACACCAGCCAATGCCACATCATCCACATGCACGTCGTGATGTAGCAGAGTCGATCGCCCGGCCGGATGTCACTCTGCAACATATGTTCCTTCTTGTGCTGCAGTAGTGTCCCGATGGCCCCGTGCACGATGCACTTGGGCGCGCCTGTGGTGCCGGAGCTGTAGAGGATGTACAGGGGATGCTCCGCCGGCATGTAGACAAATTCCAACGGCTGCGACTCGGATCCTTGGGCTATGAAGCCCTCGTATGTCCATTGTGCCGTGGAGGAGGCAGAACCAGCACTCGGGAGGTGGTCTTGGGCGCCCGCTACGGTAGGCACAACTACCACGGCTTCCAGGGAGGGCAGAGCAGCGACGATCTCCTGGGCCTTGGCTAACACGGAGTATAATTTGCCGTTGTAGATGACGGCATTATCGGTGAACAGTAGCCGGGGTTCGACCTGCACGAGGCGGTCCAGCGTCCCCTTGATGCCCGTGTCGGGGCTGACGGCCGTCCAGATGGCACCCAGCGAGGCCGTAGCCAGCATTGCAACGAGCGCAGTGCTATGGTTGGCGACGTATCCCGCCACCCGATCGCCAGGCTGAATCTTCAGGGCACGCATGCTGGCCTGGCACTGGCGTACCCGCTCGCGCAGGTCTTTCCAGGTGATGAACTCGCGGCCCCCGTCCCCCTCGGCGATGGAAATCACCGCGACGGTGTCCTCTGACAGGGGCTGTGTGGGAAACAGGAGGTTCTCCGCAAAGTTCAGCTTGGCACCGCTGAACCAGGCGGGTCGTGGCCACATTGCAGCCGCATCGTCCACGACCTGGTCGTATATCCGTGAATGTCGTACACCGCAAAAGTCCCACGCCTCGGCCCAGAATTCGCCACGGTGCGTGATACTCCAGTGGTGGAGATCTTGATATGTCTGGAGCGAGTAGCCGTATTTGGAGTTTACTTTTTGCAGAAATGCCCACATCAGGGTCGTCTCCGGTGCAGCGTGGCGCCAGAGTATCTCGTCACCGACCGGAGGGTTTGGCAAACGGCCATCCTCATCGGGGAAAATATTCTTTGCATTACCTGAATCCGAATGATCTGCTCGAATGAATAGCTGGACGAGCCGAATGAACTGGGTGACAATGGAACCCTCGCCTAGCCAGGCGTACAAACGGTCCAAATAGTGAGACGCCATAGATAAGGAGTGGGTGATCACCCACTAGAGAATCTTCTTTTCTGTCCTCTTTGTTTCTTCTTCCCACCGCGAAAGGGCCTCCTATACAGCATAGTCATCAGCGCAGTCCTTGCGCCAGAATCGGAGGCATCTCATCAGCTCTCGACAAATGCCCGGTGTTTAAAAATCAAAAGCCGATGTGGCTCGGCAAGCGGGTTGGAAGAGAAGTCGAGGTCACCACCGCAGCAGGACGCTCAGTTCATAAAACCCGAGTTGAACATCACTCAGGAGAGGTTAAAGCCCGACATCCCATCCAGAATGTGCGTTTTTGCGCGATTGCAAATAGTGCTTACAGGCCCTTGTCTCCCCCTTTTCCCCCTTGGGACTGACTATCTTCCTTTTGAAACATCGAGTGTGAGACTCGAGCCCGTTGCGAGAACGTACCCCACTATGGGTTCCACTGTATCTGACACGGACGACTTCGAGTCCCAGCTGCGTGTCTTCCACAATGTCTCCCGATACCTCCCCACGGATGATGCTAACCAGGTCTTCTGGTGGCAGACGACGGGGCGACACTTCGCGCGCATGATGCACGAGGGTCGCTACCCGGAAGCCCGCCAGGTCGAGCTGCTGCTCTTCTACCGGTTCGTGATCGCCCCACGTCTGGGGCCCCGGCCGACCAGCGCCACCCCCGGATTCCGCAGTCGGGTCGCCCCGGGGGTGGGCGATGGCTCGCCGATCGGCTACAGCTGGCGCTGGGGCACTGGCCCGAACACCAAGCCCCTGATCCGGCACTACATCGAGGCCATCGGCCCCCTGACGGGGACGACGGCCGACCCACTGAATGAGTTTGCCGCCAAGGAGATGCTGCACCATTTGGGCCAGCTGGTGCCCGGGGTAGAATTGCCCCTGGCGTGGAAGTTTGGCGCGCACATTCGACCCAGTCTGACGGACGAGTCCACACGGGCGGTGGCGGGCTCTTCCATCCTGATCGGCCTGCAATGCGCCCCTGACTCGCCGGACGTCGAGGTGATGGCGGGCCTGATGACCCGGTCGCCGGCGCAGGTCCCCGAGCTGCTACCCACGATCTTCCCGCGGGCCATGCGCGACGCCTACGGGCCGGACGCGTCGCTGGACGTGCTGAACATGGTGCGCGAATTTGTGGAGCACGACCCGCAGGGCAAGTACCTCACGATCCTGGGCACGACGGCGATCGATTGCTGCGACGTGGCGACCTCGCGGTTCAAGGTCTACGTGACGACGACCAACACCACGTTCGACCACCTGGCAGCCGTGATGACGTTGGGTGGCCGCAAGCCCGAGTTTGCCGAGTCGCTGGCCCAGCTGAAAGAGCTATGGTACGCGCTCAAGGGGCTGGACCCCGAATTCCCGACGACGGCCGAAGCCCCGAGCAACGCTCACTCGGTCGTCAGCAACGGGACGACTAACGGCAAACCGAACGCCAATGTCAGCGGCGTTACCTTCTACTTTGACATTCATCCCAAGTACAAATATCCCCACGTCAAGCTGCAGGTCGACGTCAGCAAGCATGCGACGAGCGACCTGGATGCCATTCACGCCGTGACGGGGTTCCTGGAGCGCCGTGGGCAGGGTACCGACGCGCAAGCCTACCTCAACGTTGTGCGCGCCATGGTCTCGGATGAGGAGCTGCGCACGCGACGCGGCTTACAGGCCTTCTTTGCCTTTGCCTTCAAGGGCGGCGAAGTGGACATCACATCGTACTTCCTGCCTCAGGTCTACCGGCGGTATGCGGAGATTCAGGAAGAGTTGGCACCGAAGGAGGAGGGTAATTCCGAGGGGGGGATGAGTCCCCGGTCACAGCGCCGGAGTCGCTTTGAGTCCTACTAGTTTGGGAGAAAAGGGTTCAAGTCGATGTTTCAAATGATAAATTCAGTAAATCATTTATGTTACCAGAAATCAACAAAATCAAAAGAGAAGAGGGTAAAAGAAAACATTCGCGCATAAGCTGGTAGTGTCTCGCGATAGATAAGGCAGATGCCCAAGTTGGGTTCATACTTAGTTCTCCTTCATAGTTCAACTTAAGTTCCGTAAGTTTCGTTCCCACCTCATCTCATACCACTACTGGAGAGGCAATACACACGAGGTGAAAGCAGTATATGAATTCCTACCTATGGCCATAAAAAAGGGGGAGAGGCGGAGAGAGAGAAAAAGCTACTTCTGCCGCCGATAGATCTTGCGCAGTAACTCCTCAAAGACACTCTTCCGCGAGCCCTGACTCTCATCCAGCGCGGCAATCCGCTCACGCAACTCAGCACTGCGCTCCTCCTCGAACGTGCGATATACCTCCTCGAGCCCTAGCTCGGTATACAGCGCTTTCACGGCGGACTCGCCATCTGCACGACCGTAATTTTCTACCAAAAGCCGGGTTTGGTCCATGGACGCACGCTGCAGAGCCTGCACGACGAGCCACGAGCACTTGCCGTCCACAATGTCGGTGCCGATCTTGCCCAGGACGGTCGGGTCGGCAAAGCAGTCCAGGTAATCGTCTTGGATCTGGAAATACTCACCCATGGGAACGAGGATGGCGCGGGCGGCGACCAGATTGGCTGGAGTGGCGGCATCGGCAGCGTACAGGGCCAGAGCAATGGGTAGGTAGAAGCTGTAGTATGCGGTCTTGTAGGTGACAATCTGGGAATATGTGGTGGGATTAAACGTGGCTCGGTCGGGGCCACCTTCGTCGGCAGTAAGCATGTCGAAGGCCTGGCCGAGCTCGATCTGTAGGGCGGTTTCGTGGAAGAGCTCGACCAAAGGGAGCTAGTATCCGGCTCTCAGCATGTTTTGCATATCTCCGTTGGAGAAAGGGAGATCGGATGGGACCGGGAGAACGGGAAAGGGGTTTCAATTCGAGGATATTGCAACTTACGTAGATTTCTCTTCCTCCAAAATACTTCTTGAGAAGCATATAAATGGCACTCTCGAGCAACGTTGCATCATTCACGGCAGCCATGCCCACTTCCGGGACGCGGTACCAGCTGGGCTTGCCACGCCGCGTGGGTGACTCGTCCATAATGTCGTCCAGCACCAGCATCGTCGCCTGCAGCAGCTCAACTAGCCAGCCCAGCACTGCGGCGTCAAAGAATTCGGTTGGTGTCAGTGCACGGCCGTCGTGCAGCAGTTGCACCGAGTCGACGACGCTGAGACCGCGGTTGCATTTACCACCGAGGGTGTTGTAATTCAGGCACTGACCAGAAGATATATCGTCTTAGTGTTGGGGTCATCTGGGTACTGGGAAGACAAGGACGACACCCACTTTTTCATACCGGTCCCACACACGCGTGGGGAGCTGATACTCGTCCAGACAGAGGACGCGGAGGTCGGCCACCAGCTGGTGAAAGACCGCCTCGAACTCCTGCATTTTGGTGGTGGTGCTGATGGGCATCTTGAAGGCTACTGGTTCTAGAAAGAGGCCGTCGAGCAACTGGTGGTGGACTCAGTAAGTTCACGGGTACTTGGTTCAAGGCCGAATGTAGCTCTATCTTTTGGCGAAGCTGTGTAACTTATAAAGACAGTGTGCATGTTTAGATACTTTGCCACTATTTAGGGAGTCCCCTCGGGTTTTAAGAATTTAAGAAACCAGAATCCGCTGCATTTTGGGCCACGCTATGCTATGCTGTGCAGTCCCTTGCCCGGCCGCCAATCCAGCATTACATCCATTCCGGACTGCTTGTAGACAAAGAGCTGTCGCACTGTCCATGGTTGATCGGGTCGCGTAAACCGAGGCTGATACGGTCAGCCATACAATCGGACACAAAAAATAGAGGGGAAACCTTGGACTCACCTGCATCAAGGCAAAGAACGTTGGAATAAACTTGTAGATCTCCATCTCCGCCACGTGCTTCCCGATACACCCGCGTGGCCCGTGCCCGAACGCCATGTCGTGTGCGTTCATGACGCGCAACCGTTCCTTGTATTCGGCGTCAGTCTCGCCCGGCTGCGCCAGCCAGCGTAGAGGGTTGAATTCCTCCGCGTCCTCGCCAAAGATGTCGCGGTCACGCCCAATCATGTCACCGTGCATCCCGATCACGACCCCGCCCGGTAGCCGCCGGCCGTCGGGAAGGGTGACGCCTCCGGGGGGCGTCTCTCGCTCCATCATACCGATGAAGGCAAAGTGCTTGCGCAGGGCCTCGCGCACCAATGCACCACAGAAGGGCAGCTCGAAGCGGGCAACAGAAAATGGCACTGGAAGCGGGCCATGGTAACCGTCCAACTCGGCTGAAATGCGCTTAAGGATCCAGGGTTGCCTAAGCGCGTAATAGATAGCCGTGCGCATCACCACCGCCGTGGTGTCACTGCCGGCAATAAGATTGGCCTGCATGTATCCAATCAGCTGGCCGTCGGAGATCGTCGGATCCTTACGTTGCGCCTCCAGGAAGCGGTGGGCGAAGTCGTGGGGCTTTTGGTCTTGCTGTTGTCGCGTCTCGGAATCCAGGGATTTCTCGTATTCAATACGATCTTCGAGGATACGCTTGCAGCGCATGGCGAAATGGCCCGACTGTTTGGGCTTGAAAAATTTACTGACGGGATTCAGACGCCAGACACGGTCGATTATGGGCATTGCCAGGGCCTTGCACGGTTAGCGGACTCGTCACACCATGGCCCATATATGGGAACCGGAGAAGGGAAGGGAGGGATTGTACGTACAATGCCCCGATAGTCCAGATCCTTCTGTAGTTGCTTCAACACGCCATCTACATCGCCACCGGCCTTCATGAACCCCAGGTTTTGGCTCATGGTCATCTCCAAGACGGCATCGAAAGCGACTGCAATACGTGAGCATATCTTCGAAACCACGGTCGCTGCTCCTTGCAAGTTAAACTCACAGTATTGCACCCAGTTGTGAATATCGCAGGAAATCTTGGGTCGAATGAACAACTCGTCTATCCTCTCATAAAACAGTTTAATATTTCTATCCACGTACGGTTCGAACTGCCTCCCAGTATTGCCGTCAGCCATCAGAAAGGTCCTACTATACACACAAGGCTAATTCTCACGCACCTGCATGATGCTGGTCATGGCGTATGCACCGGCAACCGGCTTTCGAATGCGTGCATGGGTCTTGTTGTCGGCGGCGGCAAACATCGTGGGTTGCTTCTTGCCTTTGTAGACTGGTGCCATGGCTTTGACCATGTCGGACTGTTCAGGATCAGTGGGTGACTTAGATTGGCGAGAACGGTTTGCGCCGAAATACCTTCTTAAACTCGGTATGAAAGCCGTAGATCAATTCCACTGCTCGGGGGTCCGAGCAACTGACCATGCGAGGGCCAATCCGTATAAGCGTCGAGTGGTGTGCGGCGTGTAACCCCGGGAGATCTTCCTTGAAGCGCCATTGCCAAACCTTGTACAGACGCCACAGGTCAGTGAATTTGGCGGCAAAAGGGCCGGGTACGTCCACAAGACCAGGTTGGAAGAAATTGATCAGCAGGTGAAAGGACAGGAAGGCCAGGACAAGCGTGCCGAGAACGTAAGGAAGCGCAGGGAGCGCCTCGAGGCGCTCCTGCCAGTTCTTCAAGAGGGGGGTGGTGAGCATTTTCTGCCTACGACCAGGGCATATGTCAAAGGACCCAAGACATAGTGGCCAATATAAGAATAATTTGCCTGGAGATTGGTAAATGACGTTTGCTGCGTGGTTCGATGGGTACTGCGGTCAGAGTATCGGCTTTTAAGCAAGATCCAATCAAAGTCCGACAGCATCAGTGGGTATCGCGGGTTGCCTAGATGGTTTTTCCTTGACAATTTCTTAGACCATTTCCTAGACGGTTTCTTATTTATCCTCTACGTTGATCTCCTAGTGATGGAGTAAGCATGTAAATGTACTTGGGCTAATTTGAGTAGAGGGCGAAAGAAAAGCAGTGTATTGTCTTTGAAGGAATTAACAGATATGGCCTTCTCCCCCCTATAGTCCGCCGCACACACAAGGCAGAGCGACTCTCCGCTCGCAAAGCCGTCGAATCAGTTATCCAACAAAGCACCCTCATCCTGCTTAGGCCTCGAGGCACGAAACATAAACACCGAGCCAACGACCCGCGTCTCGACCTCCTCAAAGTTCGTGCGCAGCGCATGCTCAAAGTCATACGCATTATCATCCAGGTTGTGGAAGATGCCAGCTTTCAGCACGTTGCGGCGCACATGGGCAGCAAAGCGGTTGTCGTGACGCACACCCTTGGCCAGAACGTTCGCACCGTGGATGACGCCGTCGGGAGTCATGTTGCGCTTGATGTGTTTGAAGATAGCGCATTTCTCGGCCACAGTGGCTGGAATGCAGTGCAGCAGATAGTACATCGAGACCGAGTCGAACTGGTCGGCCACCGGCAGGGGTTGTAGGATATCAGCTTGTATACCCTGCGCGTCTGGGCGGCCGCAGCGCTGCAAGCCCAGATCCAGCGCAGGGCGTTCCAAGTCCAGCAGCGTCAGGCGCGTCGAGGCTGGGATTTTACCCTTGCGAAGGTAATATCCTGTGCCGCTGCCGATATCGAGGTGGTTTTTGCCTACGTTGGCTTGGAATTGTGGTAGCAGGTATTCAGTGGTTTTGCAGCCCCAGGCCCAGGTCGAGACGATGCCCAGGACCCAGATCTCGTAAATTAGCAGATCCCATGACTTGTAGATAACCTCCTCGCTGGGAGGCGAGGAAGGCTTCTGGAGGTCATCGGTTGCGGTGGTGGTGGTAATGCTGGTGGATGTCATGCTGGCGATGTGTATCCTCAATGCGACAAGATGACAAGAAACAATGGCCAGGAGGGGGAGGAACCTTTGGTATTCATCGTAGCTGTAGTTAATCGGAATTTATCGTGTCGATTAGATGGTTCACGCTACCGGTAATTTCACGACTGGGGTTGGTGAGAGGTAGTGGTATAAAACCCGAGTTTAAAGCCCGAGGCAACTCAATCCGACCAACACCACAATGGTGGGCATCATCATCAACACCATCCTGCACATTTACTCGTCTTCCATAGACGCTTGCCTTCCCTCGACTGCGCTCACAGATCCAAGCACGGAAGAATGGCCACACGAATTCCCTTTGACGAGTACTATTGGGAAGAATACCTGTCGGGGCAAAAGGCGTCCCTCCCAGCCCTCCCTACGCTGACGCAGCTCACACCAAGGGTGACTCGGCTCCTGGCCGGGAACCCAGGAATCATGCAATTGCAAGGCACGAACACATACCTGGTCGGCACGGGGCCAGCGCGGATCCTGATCGACACGGGGGAAGGCCGACCGATCTGGCACAGCATGCTGGTAGAGTATCTCCGAGTACACAACCTGACGCTAGAATACGTGCTGGTGACGCATTGGCACGGCGACCATGTGGGTGGAATTCCAGACTTGATCGCGCATGATCCGACGCTGCAGTCGCGCATCTACAAGCATCGCCCGGACCGAGGCCAGCTGCCCATCGCAGACGGGCAACGGTTCACTGTAGTAGGCGCGACGGTGCGCGCGATATTCACGCCCGGCCACGCGGTAGACCATATGTGCTTCGTGATCGAGGAGGAGAATGCCATTTTCACGGGGGACAACGTGCTGGGCCACGGTTTCTCCGTCCTACAGGACTTGGCCGAGTACATGGCAAGTCTCGCGCGCATCGCGGCGCTCGGCTGTGAGAGAGGCTACCCAGGCCACGGAGCGGTCATCGAGGATCTACCCGCCAAGATGCAGCTGTATATCCGTCACAACGAGGCGCGTGTGCAGCAGGTCATCGCCGTGCTAGCGGAGAGTATGAAGCTCCCCGGAAAACGGAGCGGCATGACCGTCCCCGAGATAGGACAGGCCATATATGGGGAGGTACCCGGGGAGATCATCGAGAATGCAATCGTGCCCTTCCTGTCGCAGGTCTTATGGAAACTGGCCGAGGACCGAAAGGTTGGCTTTGAGCCAGGCGAGACGAGTAAACGGCGGTGGTTTGAATTGGTATCACAGTAATGGAGATTGATCGGTGTAAATAATGGAGTTACAATGCACATGTTTTCCACATGACGAAGCCCATGGTGAGAGAAAAGGAATTGTTAGATTGAATGAACAGGCACCTACTACCGTCTCGAAATTTCGCTACCTCTAACCTTTAGAATTCAGGATTATCTCATTCTATCTGCTCCTTGAGCGCTGCCTTGGCCCGCCGCTTCTCTGCAATCTCCCGCCACTCTGCCATAGGTCGGTGCAGCACGTAAAATCGCGATCTTGATCGGCGTACGGCTTCCTGACACCGCCGCGCAGTTCCTTCGTAGTACACGGCCACTGCGCGACCCACGGAACCCTCTTTGACTAGTGCTGCCGCCAGCTCGGTGCTGTCCACCAGTGCATGGTTACCGCCCTCGCCACCGAAGATCGGCATTGCATGCCACGAGTCCCCGACGAACACTACGCCTGCCTGCGCAGCTTGCAATGCATCCTCCGTCGGCATGTACACGCATCGACTGATCCAGTGAAATACTGAGTGCTGTCGGATGGTCTCCGGGTTGATGTATCGTGCCCATGGCTCCGCGAGCTGCCGCGACGACAACTCGTCCAAGAGCGCCTGGGGTGGCCCTCGGGTCTGGTCTTCCGGCTGTTTAGCATTGAACAGTCGGTCATTTTCGCCGCGCACTGGTCGAGAATACGACCAGTCAAGGTGCACCCGCGTTTTTGTTATATTGCAGACCGTAATCGGCGTATTGAACCCGTCACCCACGCCAGCAAGAATATTAGCATTGCCGATGACAGGACGCATGTAGCGGTCATACTCGTCGCGCGACACCTCGAACTCGCCATGGTAGACAACCACGGGCACCACTTCCGGGACAATATGTGGCAGAACTTGCGAACGCACTGCGTTGGGCAGATGGTCAGTGAATCCGGGTCAGTCGATATGCGACCGCAAATGCAGACGGCCTTAGCCTTAACGTACCCGTCGAATGCACACCATCAGCAGCAACCACTACCGAACCTTCATATGCAGCTCCATTCTCGAAGACTGCCCGCACGTTGCCCATCGAGCCCGAGATACTCTTGAGTCGATGTCCGTAACGCACATCCAGCTCGTCATCCCCGCAGTCGGCAATCCAGGCTCTCAATGCATTGCGATTCGCTCGCACAACCGCTGGCCGGGCATCCGCGTCCGGTTCGACGAGTACCTGGCCCGTCGTGTTATCGCGCATTGCAAGATCTACCCATCCACTGCCACCGATGAAGCGGTCCGGCGCGACAGCCTTGGTCATACTTTGCAGGGACAACCCACCGAGGGCCTCGAGCAACGGAGAATAGCCCCAGTCGTGCACGGAAATGGCAAACCCCTGGCTGCGTTCCGGCGGAGAGGCCTCGAATACAATGTTTGCAATACCATTATTTGTCAATAGTCGCCCAATGGCAAGGCCAGACAGACCCGCACCGACGATGAGGACAGGGCGTGTATCATCCGTCTTGTGCATAGCGTCGGCAGAGGAGGTTAGCGGCACGGTGAGATGCTGAGTAATGATAGGGCTCTTAGATCATAATCCTTTTTCCATTAGTTACAGACGCGTAATCTTAAAGTCTGCGCTCGCTGTTGTCGCGTGCTGCCTAAGACCCGCCGAACCGTGCAAAACCCCGCAAAATCCGAGGGCCCCCGGGCTGAGAACAAAGCCCGTGAAGCGACTCCTTGCTCTCAGCCCAGACTGGTTCCTCCACTTATTTGTTCCCAGAATAGCCAATCGGAAGACGAGTCGAGATTGAAGGCGTTGTTCATGTTGGGGTCGGTCCTGCTCATGTCGTCGAAAAGCTCGTCGAAAGTAAAAGCCCCATCTATAGCTTGATCGGTACCAAATACGCTGTCCTCCCGCCGGGGGGTTCCTTTGGGTTCTCGTTGAGCGCGCAGCACGGTAATGAAAGCTGGCTCGGGAGATGAATAACTAGGCGGATTCACTAGCCAGTCCTTCAAAGTGATCTTAGCAATCGTAACGTACAGGGTTCTCCGGCCCTGGATCAGCGCTTCATGATTTGCGTAGACCTCTGAAACCCTTTTCCAGGCAGCATCAAGCTCTGACGGCGAATAAAATCCAACCTTCGCAATGCTTCTCAGAATGCAGAGAAGGGAGTCCCACAGGAAAAACGCTTGCATCTGCCACCGAAACTTTTGGGTGGCGGGATTGCTAAAGATGGCACTGCTGGTGTCGAGTACCTTTTCGGCAAGGGTACAGAGGCGTCTCCGCTGTGCGTCGGTAATGCTTTTTTGCATGAGTAGCGGCATTCGCGCACGTAACCGAACGGCACTGATGGCCGATCGCATAATGCCGGTGGTAAGAAAGTGCAAAGGATTCAGGATGTCACAGTACCGTAAAAACTTCGTCTCGATGAGGTCTTCCACCTCGTCAATCAGCCGCTCAATGTCCTCGGGATCTCGGAACTGGATTGTGCCCCCCTTTTCCTTCAGCTTGACCCCCGTTCGAGTGTAGAAATTTGACAGCTCCATCCGGGACAAGCAAAAGATCATATCCGATGCGCCTCTTTGCTCATGAGGCGGCTCGGTCATGCCAGGGAAGATCTGGTCATCGTTGATGTTTAACGGTTGCTTGGTATCCCAGCTGTCGGGTGAGAGGGATATACCCGTGCCGGATGTTTGACCCGCATAGCCGTCCAGGGGTAGCAGTTGCCAAAAGAGCCGCCGGCGCATCTGAACCTCAAATGGGGGCAATCCGAGGCTTTCGCCGTCCCGGTGCAGTCCCATGCGTTGGGCCAGGCGAATTGCAATGCCGGTCAAAATCCAGAAGGTATGAGAATCGATTTGAGTGCGCAAAGTAATAAGAAAGAGTGTGTAAGCCTGTAAAACCGGCATCGAGGTGGTCTTGAGCCAAGACGCATTTACTAATGCCTGGGTGAATGCGGTCCGATATTTGGACATCAAGTGGGCCCTCGAATCACCGAGTTCACGCAAACATTCGTCGTCCGACATGGAGAATACGGCGGAATAATAGATGACAAAAAGCACGCATTCATCATTCTTCGAGGCGGTCGCTGGGTGCTTGGAGACAGTGTCGACCATCTGGGTGACCGTCGGAACATGAAGAACCTTGCAAAGAGGCTCGACATTCTCCACGTAGGCATGCCAGAGCTTGGCCGCATGCTCATAGTTAGGGTGAAGGTCGGTGAGGCTTATCGTGCTCCCGAGGAACGCATCAGAAATCGAATGCGCGGCGAGCGCACCGAGCGGACCAGTCGGACTGGTTTCGTCGGGTCCGGGCTCGTCTTCATTGTAGTTTTCCTGGTCGGATTCTGACAACTCACACAAGTCACCTTCGCCAGCGTCAAGGAGTAGAACATTGTCGATGTAGCGAGAATTGCCACTGATGGAAAGCGGCTGACCCGCTGTGGCGTCAGGCGGGGAATCCGCCAGCCTTGGAGTCGGAGCCTGTGTGCTGTTGGCTGGGGCCTCCGAGTCTCTGCCGCTGGTGATCGAGGCAGCGGCTGTCGGGAGGAGATTGTGGTTATGCAAGATGCGCTCGTACCGAGCCAGGCGTTCGTGTAGGTCTTCGTCGCCCCGGCTACGTTTCCTCTTGCGCCGTGGCGGCCGTGGCTCATAGACGCACTGGAGCTTGGTCTTGATACAGCTGGCACATTTGGGCACCGCACGGTTGCACTTGATCTTCTTCCGCACACAGGCTTGGCAGTTGAAGCGGACTGGGGTCAACGGGTCGGTTTCGGAGGAGCCATTGTGCGGGTCAAGAGTCCTTGCGGGGGCGGAAGCAAGCGCGACGAGATGGGGGACAACCCTGATGTCCCTCGTGTCCTCCATTTCTTGGGAACTGATGTTTCCGCTCTCTCATGTGGTGATCACTGTCGTTTTCTTTCGTAGTCTGCAATGGTGTCACACGAGTTGGGGAGGCACATCCCTGTCGTTCCTTCGCACTAACTGATGTTCCGTCCACGGGACTAGCTCGCGGGTCAGTAAGTACCCTGGTCGGATTTTTACGAATGGGATAGGATCTGGACAGAATAGCGGAAGGCCAGCGATTGATTAATATCGAAGATGTTTATGAATTCCAAGATTACCCTTAGGTGGAAGCGTGAAACGCACGCTTTCCAAAAGCCGACTTTACAAAGCTAGCGTGTCCCAGGAAGGACAGACAAAGAACAGAAGCTTCCAGTCACATGATATCGATCAAGGAAGCTCCAGCAACATTACTGATAGCTCGACTATTCTTCCGCAAATCCACAAATGGGGTCCAATGTCAGGACCTCAAACCCCATCCGCATATGGCATCCACGGGTTAGATCCCAGGCCCCAACCCCACTAGGATTTGGGGGTTTCTGAAATTTCCCTGGATCACTCCAGAAAATGTGAAAGGCTGCAGCACGAATTGATTCAATTGTACTCGGCCAGCATGCTTGTTACAAGTATCTTGAGGAAAAGGAAAAGAAGTGGGCCGTTCCCGCGAGATAACATACTGCCGGATAGGGCTGAAGGTGTTGGAGCACTCGGGAAACACTCGTGGCAAAGATGTGCGGATGTGGAGACCTGCCAAAAGGCCCCGAAAGTTCCACTCTACTTACTGACCGACTGTCTCTTTCCGACTCTCAGGAGAGAAATAAATCATTCCTCGAGACCTAGTCCGTACTGGGCCATGTGCCCTGTATCGATGATGCTTAGTCAGCATATTCGTAGATTGTAAGTTGATTCGGTGGTCAAGTATGCCTGGAAGTCTTCTTATGGACAAAAATAGTAAGTTCGATTTAATTTGACTAGCAAATGCAGCGGTGCTCATATCACCAAGTACATGGCAAAAGATCATATGTGAAATCAAGAACACTTAAAATCATGTTAGTGGTCCGTAGTCTCCTGCCAATGCAGGGGATTCAGTGCGGAATCGTTAAGCATCAATCTGGTAGATCTCAACAAGTAATGAGGGGCTATGTAAAAGGGTTTTCTATCACATGACCACACAGCGTCCACAGGTTGACAATGATTAAGGTGTTGTTATTCGGTGGGTTATCTACATCTCTTCTGCCTGATAAGCTCATCAAGGGAAGCCGACCATCTTCCTCCCACGGAACAACATTAATGCGATCTCCGCCAGCGGCCAGATTGGCAACAGCTCGTATCAACAATCCAAGAGAAGCACTCCTCCAATTGCACAACCACCACTCTCCAGAGCCTCTCACCATGCCCGGCCCTCTGTCACTTTTCTCCGTTAACGCGGTCCTCATCATGTCCGCGGACGACGGATCCCGCATCTTCACCAAGTACTACTCCGCACCGCATCCGCCCACGGGAGCCGCACCCAACTCGACCGACTACCCCGGTGCCAACCCATACCCGACCGTTAAGGAGCAGCGGGCCTTTGAGAAGGGACTTCTCGAGAAGACGAATAAATCAAGCAGTGATGTTATTCTGTACGATAACCGGATCGTGGTGTTCAAGATGGAGAGCGACGTGATGATCTACGTTGTTGGAAGTGCGGACGAGAACGAGGTGCTCTTGTACAATGTCGTGCTGTCCTTGCGGGATGCGTTGGGAATAATATTCAAGTATGTGAACCATATTTTTACTCGGTTGGGAGAATTTGCCCTTGGCGCAGTGGCAATTGAAGCTCAAAGCTAATCCGGGAATTTCTAATAGGGGTGCTACTGACAAGCGCACTATCGTCGAGAATTACGACCTTGTCTCCCTTACCATCGACGAGACTATTGACGACGGTATCATCCTCGAGACTGACCCCATCATGATTGTCTCTCGTGTCAGCCGTGCACCTGCCGCTGATGCGCCGAACATGAAGAACATCGACTTGACCGAGCAGGGTTTGATGAACGCCTGGGAGTTTGGCAAGCGGCGTCTGGCCGAGGGTCTACGACACATGTAAAATGCTGTCGGTCTGTTTCTTTGATCGGATTTTTCTCCTTGTGCTCGGATGCGGCAGCCGTCTGGGTGTGTGATGCGAATTGCTCGTCCATTTCGGAGCTTCCATCTTGTGTTTCCTTGTCCCTTGTTTCTTCGAGTTCTCTTCCTGGCTGGTCCTGGCGTGATATGGTTTCTTATGTTTTTGGTCCTAGTTGGCTGTTTCTGGGACTACGGACACTTCTCATAGATTTGTTGTATGCTTTTCTCTCTGCATCTTGTCCATCAAAAGCCCTGCCGGTGAAGTGGGGGGTGGTACAGCCCTGTGTGGGCTGCGTGGTAATACTGGCGCATATGCCGATGACTGCAATGAAAAAGACGATACCATAATAATTAATCCGTATTATCATCTACAATCATCGAGCTTAGTGCATTGGTTCCGACACAATTGCCGAAGTACTCTGGCTTATACTTGGTAATCGGGTGTCCCAGAAGAGAGCCCGACTCCGATCGGTACCTGCCCCGCATACGTCACGCTCGAAAATTCCTTTCTTTCAACAACTCCTGCGCCCACAATGAAGCAGAGATTCTCATCGCTAGACGTCAAGGTATTACCGCTTTGCAGTACTCACGTAGCCACGAACAAAAAGCTTACAATCGATTCAGGTCATCACGCAGGAGCTGGCCGCGGAGCTGGTCAACCTCCGCGTGTCCAACATCTACGACCTCTCCTCCGTACGTCCGAATTCCCCCTTGCGAGTCCATTGTTGCCGGAAAAACAAGCATCTATCTAACAGTTGCTCCAGCGTATCTTCCTCTTCAAGCTTGCCAAGCCAGATCACCGGCGCCAACTAATCGTCGACTCCGGCTTCCGCACCCATGTCACACAATACTCCCGCACCGCGGCGTCCGCTCCTTCGCCCTTCGTCACCCGCCTGCGCAAGTACCTCAAGTCTCGGCGCATCACCAATATAACTCAGATCGGAACGGACCGCGTCATCGACATTTCCTTCAGCGATGGCACTTACCACCTATTCCTCGAGTTCTTCGCGGGCGGCAACATCATTCTCACGGATCGCGAGTACACTATCATCGCGCTATTCCGACAGGTCTCCGCCGTTGAGGGCGAAGAAGCGAAGTTAGGAATCAAATATACGGTGACGAATAAGCAGAATTACGGGGGGGTGCCTGATATCACAGATGAGCGGGTGAAGCAGACGCTGGAGAAGGCCAAGGCAGTGTTTGCGAGTGAGGAAGGTGCGCCGAAGAAGTCGAAGAAGAAGAAGAATACGGATGTTCTACGGAAGGCTCTTTCTCAGGGTTTCCCAGAGTATCCTCCGCTTCTATTGGATCATGCGTTCGCGGCGAAGGAGTTTGATCCGGCAACGCCGCTTGATAAGGTCTTGGGGGATGAGGCTGCCCTGCTGAAGGTTAGGGATGTGCTCGAGGAAGCTCGGCGGGTTTCGGATAGCTTCAGCGTTGCCGAAAACCATCCGGGGTATATTGTTGCCAAGGAGGATACGCGAGCTTCCGCTGATGGTGAGAGTGCCTCGAAGACCCCTGGTCTGTTGTACGAGGACTTTCATCCGTTCAAGCCGCGGCAGTTCGAGGGCAAGCCGGGGATCACTATTCTGGAGTTTGACCGATTCAATGCTACGGTTGACGAGTACTTTTCGTCTTTGGAGTCACAGCGTCTAGAGTCCAGGCTGACGGAGAAAGAAGAGGCTGCCAAACGCAAGCTCGAATCTGTTCGAGATGAGCACCGGAAACGCATTGACGCCCTGAAAGACGCGCAGGAGCTGCACATACGCAAGGCTGGCGCAATTCAGGATAACATGTACCGAGTTCAAGAGGCGATGGATGCTGTCAATGGTCTTGTGGCGCAAGGCATGGACTGGGGCGAGATTGCGCGTTTGATTGAAATGGAACAGGCTCGGGGCAACCCAGTTGCACAGATCATCAAGCTTCCGCTGAAGCTGTATGAGAACACTGTCACTCTTCTGCTTGCTGAGGCCGGTGACGATGAGGATGATGAGAACGCGGAAGACCTCTCTTCTAGCGATGAATCCGAATCGGACTCGGAAAGTGAAGAGCGGGAGGAAAAGCGACGTGCAGACGCTACTTCGAAACTGTTGTCCATCGATATCGATCTCGGTCTGACGCCGTGGGCAAACGCTTCACAATACTACGATCAGAAGAAACAAGCATCTGAGAAGCAGCAGCGAACTGCCCAGTCATCCTCAATGGCTCTTAAAAGTCACGAAAAGAAGGTGACAGCCGATCTCAAAAAGAGTCTCAAACAGGAGAAGCAGGTTCTACGCCAGGCCCGCGTGCCCTTCTGGTTTGAAAAGTTTGTCTTTTTCATCTCCTCGGAAGGCTACTTGGTTATTGGGTATGTACGTCGCAAAACAACACCAAACACATTTCTAACAGACTGTTAGTGCTCGAGACGCAATGCAGAGCGAACTCTTGTACCGCCGTTATCTCAGCAAAGGCGACATCTTCATCCACGCCGACCTCGAAGGCGCGCTTCCAATCGTCGTCAAGAATCGCAGCGGAAACTCAGACGCGCCAATTTCCCCCAGCACACTCTCGCAAGCTGGAAACATGTGCGTGGCAACCTCTACAGCATGGGACTCCAAGGCCGTGATGTCCGCATGGTGGGTGCATGCCCATCAGGTCTCCAAGACTGCGCAGGTGGGCGGTGGCATCTTACCTACGGGTCGATTCGAGGTGAAGGGCGAGAAGAATTTCCTTGCTCCTTCGCAGCTGGTTCTGGGATTTGCTGTTCTATGGCAGATTAGCCAGGATAGCGTGAAGAATCACAAGCGGCTGTTTGACGCAGCAACGGACAGTGTGGGTGTAGAGATTAAGGAGGCAACTCGGGATGAGCGAGAGACCGCCATAAAAGAAACTGATCAGCAACCCGCTCCTGAGGAAGAGGCTGCTGCTACTACTGTTGACGACGAGGTTCCTCGAGATGAGCAGCAGGGAAAGGATGAATCCGGGGATGAGGAGGATGCAGAAGAAAATGAGGAGGATCAAGGTCCAGCTGGAAATCCCCTTCAGCGTGGAAAATCCGAACTCCCCGCCAGCTCAGAACAGCAGTCGCCCGAATCCGACGCAGAGGACGAGGACGATAAGGAGGATCCAGAGCTGGATTCCGTGCAAGAAGAGCAGGCTGCTGAGGATAATGACGACGCATTGTCAACTGCCAACCAAGATGATGCTTCTCCACAAAACGAGAGAGGGCAGCTCTCAGCCGGCGAACGACGTACCCTCCGACATGGCAAACCCAGCGACCGACCTGGCAAGGAGGAACCGGCTGCACCACGCGTTCCTCAGACCCGAGGAAAGAAGGCCAAAGACAAGCGTGCAGCAGCCAAGTACGCCCAACAAGACGACGAAGAGCGCGAACTAGCTCTCCGCCTCCTCGGCTCCAACAAAGGCAAAGCCGCAAAGGCCGCCCAGGCCGCCGAAGCGAAAGCGCAACGTGAACGCGAAGCCGAAGCGCAAAAAGCCCGTCGTCGCGCACAGCACGAACGCGCCGCAGAAGCCGAACGCAAGCGCCAGGCTCTCTTTGAAGAAGGCGGCGATGATTACAACGAGGAGATTGCGGCCGCCGAAGCCGCAGATCTCAGTTGGTTGCCGGCGCTAGTCGGCACGCCCTCACCGGACGACGAGATTCTTGCTGCGATCGCGGTTTGTGCACCGTGGGCCGCGCTGGGACGGTACAAGTACAAGGTGAAACTGCAGCCTGGTGCGGTTAAAAAGGGTAAAGCTGTGAAGGAGATTGTGGGACGATGGGTGTCGGAGACGACGACGGGCAAGGTGAAGAAGGAGTATGCGGAGGATTTGGGGATTTCGCGGGTTGATGCGGAGAAGTTGCGGGAGAAGGAGGGAGAATTGATTAAGGGGTGGAAGGAGACGGAGATTATCAATACAATGCCGGTCGGTAAAGTGCGTATTATGACGCCTGGAAGTGGTGGTGGTGGAGGTGGAGGGGATAAAGGGAAGGGTGGAAAGGGTGGTGGTGGTGGGCGAGGAGGGAAGGGAGGGAAGAAGAGATAGAGATGGATAGAGCTGGAGACTGAGGGGAATCCTTTGTATGGGTGGTATTTTGTATGGGTACTTTGGGTAGTTTGGAGATATTAGGTGTGCCTGCTCGTAGAGGCATTGAATGGCAAAGTTATGATGAGTCTTGGTACCTCCGGTCAAGGTTGTATCAAGAATTTTTGTCCAAGGATCTTCATTTACAATGTCTATTTTTTTTCACTGAACTGAAAATGATTGCACGTGAGCATTGGGTTATGACGTAAAAGGACTGTCGAAGCGGCCTTACTGATGCTCGTTGTTGGTAGAGTATGCATACATCCACGCCGTATATCTCGATCTATATATCTGGACACAACCTTCAGCGTACCGCCGCGATATATGTTCAGCTACAAATTTTTGAAAAGATCGTCAACCATAGGAAACGAGTGTAGCCTTTAAATTCCAGAAGCTAGTACAACGAAAAGATCAAATTGAACCCCGATTACAGTAGATTATCTGTTGTTGTACTGTAGGTGGGTTGCACACCCAGGTTGAACCCCTTGAACCCCACCCAAATGTCAAGGTGGTAGGTCCAAACCAGGAATCCCTGGCAATATCACTTTTCCCAGGGACGAGCCACATCATCTTCACTTTCTCAGTCTGCTGATCCTTCTTCCACTACCTTCCTTCTCATTTCCACCTGAACATATTTCTACCTGACGCGTCATATAACTATTCAACGTTCGTACCTGACGGCTGACTCATCCGACGTCATTTTAATCGCGCGCATATTTTTTTTCATCGATAAGAACGTCAAATTACACAGCCAAATCGATTTGATGCACTGCACGGCCCTACGAGGGAAGATCGTCGATCGCAAGCCCTAAAACATACTTAGACAGCCAGGCTCCGGCACCAAAGCCTATCATTTCCTCCCAAATTCAAGCCATCACTGTGTGAACTCGGGCCCCGTGCCATTCCCGCCCCTCCTCGCTGGTTGCATGAGCGACGAGCCCTGCGTCATTGATCTATTACCGTGTCGAACTTAAAGATACCCGCTCGACACCCGCTTTGTTTCATCAAGCTGCTGTTCTCCCGAATCCTTGCTGGCACTGGTCAGCGCCGTCTCGCCCGTTACTTCACCACTACTAGCATCACCACCGCCATGGCGACTTCCGAGACGCGGGTCGTCTCCGTCCAGCGCCTCAATGAGGGTCCCGGATCCCGGTCTCTAGCTGAATGGTGGGCCGAGGAGAAAAAGCTTCAAACTCCCGAGGCCAAGGCCATTGAGGAGGCTGCCCAGATCCTCCGCACCAGCGATATCCCCGTCGCCTTCCCCACCGAGACAGTCTACGGTCTCGGCGCGGATGCTACAAGAAGCGCCTCCGTTCAAGGCATCTACCGCGCGAAACAACGACCCTCGGATAACCCCCTCATCGTGCATGTTGACTCTATCGACATGCTAAACCGCTTGCTCAACCCCTCACCGCAGACCCCCAGCAGCCCCAACTCGACCAAAACTCCGCGCATCTCCATCCCTGAGATCTATCAACCACTCGTGGACCGCTTCTGGCCGGGTCCATTAACAATTATTCTCCCGAACCCATCCGGATCCGACCTCGCCCCAGAAGTAACCTCCAACCTGACCACCTTTGGCGTCCGCATGCCCTCCTCCGCACTAGCCCGCCTCCTCATCCACGCGACAGACCGTCCCCTCGCCGCGCCCTCTGCCAACGCCTCGACTAAACCCTCCCCAACAACCGCCCAACACGTCTACCACGACCTACACGGCCGTATCGACCTCATCCTGGACGGCGGCGCTTCCGGCGTCGGCGTGGAAAGTACCGTCGTGGACGGTCTCTGCCACCCACCCGCCATCCTCCGGCCCGGCGGCATCGGCATCGAAGAACTCCGCACCTGTCCCGGCTGGGAAAACGTCACCGTCGCATATCACGATGGCACCCTAGACGTCAAGGAAATCCCGCGGGCACCAGGCATGAAATACCGCCACTACTCGCCCAAAGCGCGAGTCGTCCTCTTCGAAGCAGACTCGCATCTCAACGGTGTCGTCCGACACGTGCAAAGGGACCTACAAGATAGCGCGATCGGCGCACACAATATCGGCATTGTCCGCACGCGCCATTGGCCGCAGGGTCTTGGGCTGGCCTCCTCTGGCGCGCTGGCTTCTACGATGCGGCCCGTTTCGTCGGCGATTGAGAATCTGCTTAGTTTCCCCGTTCCCGTGCAGGAGACGGGTAGTCCGAGTAGTCGGACGAAGATGGCGTATGATTATCATTTGGGATCTGATACGGGGGCGATTGCGCATGGATTGTTTGCTGCACTGCGGGCGTTGGACGAGTTGGATGTGGATGTTATCTATGTCGAGGGGATATCGGATCGGGATGGGGATTTGGCGGCTGCGGTGATGAATCGGTTGAGGAAGGCTGCTGGGGCGGAGATGAAGGCGTAGCCCGTGTTTCGTGTTGGTTTTTTAGAGCTTATACTCCCATCGCTTCGCTGTTCTGCCATGCTTTAATGCTGCTCTTGCGCTAGATGTGAAGCTTTTTACAGGCCATGTATTTCCCAAGTGATTGGATTGCGGGGTATTGGAGATAGAGTTTGGGAGGGGAAATATCCAGGGTATCTTGGCTACTTGAATGTTGGACTGTACAGTGTTTTCGCGTTGGTTTGGATTTAGAATCTGGCATGCATGCAATGTATCGTTCATTTCTCTCGTGGACTTGCCGGAAGAAAGAGGGTGCCCCGCGTTGTCTTTTGGTTGAAGTACCAAAAAACCATAGTAGAAGTACGAAAATAGTAGCTGGAGGAGAGCAGTAATGAGATGATTAGCATAATAGAAATGACTTATTCTCTTTATAATCTCCAGTCTCCACGGAATACCAGTCGGAGACTTCCGATCCACCACCTCCGTGCTCAGTGCCGGTCTTATCGGGCGTGCCTGAGTTGACTTGATTCACCCGCCCGATAAGCCACGACGAAGTGGACTCGAGTGGACCTTCTTTTTTTCTTCTTGCCTCCGGTCGTCAGTTTAAGAAGCTTAAACCTGGCCAATCCTCCCCAAAGCAGTTAGTCTGGTCCGAACAATGAAGAAGTCAGAGCCACTGCCCCGCTCGATTGGGATAACCCCCGAGATACAACCAGTAGTAACACGGCCTGGCGGGCAAAGAAGAGAGGGGAAAAAAAAGAGAAAAGGTTCCGGTCTTGAGCCGCGGCGGCTCCAAATTTCCATCGTATATATATGGAGGGCCTTATCACCCACGTGGATCTTTTAGACAAAAGAAAAAAAAAACAGAAGACCGTCTCCTCGCTGCATTCCCTATCATCATTAGCATCCTCCAACATGTGTCAATCCCCCCTCCACGACTTCATCCACGGCCTCCCCAAGTGCGAGCACCACGTCCACCTCGAAGGCTGCCTCACCCCCGAACTCATCTTCCACCTGGCCTCCCGAAATGGCATCACCCTCCCCTCGGCCGCCGAAAACCCCGCCTACGCCTCCATCGCCTCCCTAACAACCCGCTACGAACACTTTACCTCCCTCGACGACTTCCTCGCCTTCTACTTCGAAGGCATGGCCGTTCTCCGCACGGAACAAGACTTCTCCGATCTAGCCTGGTCCTACTTCCAAAAGGCGCACGCCGACGGCGTCCACCACGCCGAAGTCTTTTTCGACCCGCAAGTGCACCTGAGTCGCGGGGTGACCTATTCTACCGTCGTAGCCGGGTTCGCGGCAGGCTGCCAGCGGGCAGAGACGGATCTGGGCCTGAGCACGAGGCTGATCATGTGCTTTGTGAGACATCTCCCAGTCTCCTCGGCCAAGGAGGTCTACGAAGAGTTTCTGGCGAACGAGCATTTCCAGGCACAGGTCGTGCACGGACTGGGCTGGTCTTCGTCCGAGGTCGGCCCGCCCAAGGACATGTTCCGGGAGATCTATGCGTCGGCGGCGGCGAAGGGGATCCCCTTGACTGCCCACGCGGGCGAGGAAGGCGACCCGACGTATATCAGTACCGCATTGGAGTTGGGCGCTCAGCGGATTGACCACGGGATTCGACTGATCGAAGATCCCGAGCTGATGAAGCGTGTTGCTGCAGAGGGCATCTTGCTCACGGTTTGTCCGTTGTCGAATGTGCGGTTGCGCTGCGTGACGAGCGTGGAGCAGGTGCCGATTCGCAAATTCCTGGAGGCGGGCGTCAAGTTCTCGATTAACAGTGACGATCCGGCGTATTTTGGGGGTTATATTTTGGATAATTATTGTGCGGTGCAGGAGGCGCATGGGTTGTCGGTGATGGAGTGGAGGATTATTGCGGAGAATAGTGTGCAGGAGAGTTGGATTTCGGATGAGAGGAAGGCGGAGTTGTTGGAGAGGATCGAGGGACATGTGAAGAAGCATATGGTTTCGGTGGATGTTTGAAGATAGAGGAGAGGAGGTGAGTATATTAGGAAGGCGTATATGTATATGGGAAGATAGTGCATGATGATACCCTGTGATGATTCAACATTGTGGATGTATATGGTTTCTTTTTCAACGTTTGGCATATACTTGATGTAGGGATACATACGAACGAGCATTGACGTGATGATTTGAAGGATTTTGACCGGGTGTTGAAAGTAGATCGAGGTTGACTATGATCTGAGCCTCCCGAGCTCATTTCTGGGTAGTCAATCCACAAATCTCGATTATCAAAGTAAAGCAAGTAAGAGGAGCAACTATGCTGCGTGCGGGTCTACCCTGCTATTGGAATGCAGGCTTACGTGCAATTTCCATCATGTATAGCTGGTTGGCAGATCGTGAAGGTAGTATACCTAACAAATCGGAGTCTCGAAGCCTTGATAAGTTGATCAGTTCATACGATGGTGCCAGCTAACTATTACTACTTTGAGGGCCAAGGATAAAATTCAATACTGAAGCTTTCAGCTAAGCCACCAAAGTCAACTAGTCTCAGTCAGCCGGAACTGCAGCAGGACATTACCATTTGAAAGGGGATAAAAAGAGGTGCTACATCGATAACTGCGACAATTCTTGCAGAACAAGGTGTTCATATTGATGCAGAGCAGAGTTCTGGACAGTCTTCCGCACGGCGAGACGTAAACAAGACAATGTATTGTCCGGGATCACCGTGACTTGATCTATTTATCTATCTCAAAATTCTCTTCAAAGTACACAATAATCTTTTTGAACGGTGTCTGTGCTGAGGAGGGGCACTGCGTGGATTCTTGGAAGCGCCAGTGTGGCTGGCTGGCCCTAAGAGTGACGTGGCGAGCTCCGAAAGCCCCTCCCGATGGACTTTGGAGCTACAGGGCGTAGGGACGCAGATCCTAATTGGGCAATGGAGATTTGGCCATTAGAGAACTCCTCCGAGTTGAGCTTCTCGGATGGTTCTCAGGCTCTGCTTCGTTGCTTTAGCACCCAGTGGGCTCTGTCTTTGACTCCTCACTGCCCCGACTTGAACCAATACTGACATGATTCTGCAGCCACCAGTTTGCAACGAACGGGCGACTAGCTTATTTTCAGAGGCAGCTGCATTCAAGAGGCTGACTGAAAACAGCCAAAAGTTCGTAGACTTGTGTGTTTGTGAGGGGCTGTCGGGCGTTGGTCACTCCTTGACCTTTTGGACGACGCCTGTAAAATTTATGTAGGCCAGTGGAGATGCTTGGAATCAATATAAATAGCCGGAAACTTTCCACCTTTCCGGGGCATCACCTACAAAGCTCAAGATGGTTTTCTCGACTACCGCTAAGCCTTTTTGGCTCGCACCACCGGGAGAAGATCGATATCTAGACAAGTGGAGGCAGGATATACGTGTCGTACAGGATCAGCTGTACCTTCTTGAGCCGAATGTCGGCAGTGCGGTGGAACAAAGCACGCAACAGGCACTAGAAGGCATTGCGACGGGGCTCGATGCACTCAACTAGCTCCTTGAATTCTGGCCGGACTACAAAGGGGACGATGAAACCAACGAGAAGCGCAAGGCCATTATCTAGGCGGCGACCGAACCTATTGGAAATGGAATACAGACCGTCAAGGACGCTGCCGAAGGCGACTCGGTCCTCAGCCAGGTACCTAGGCTTACTGAGTGGACTGTATAAGCATATATAATCATAAATGAGCTAACATTACTATGAATGTTTAGGTGACTGAGTTCGAGCAGAAATTGATCGACTTGAAAACCAAATTCGCCGAAGAAACAGCGGCGGAACAAGCTGAATTGGGTAAGTTAAAATCCGAGCTCCTACCAGTGGTGGAGAAGATGTTTGCTGACCAAAAGACTTACCAGGCCGCTCAGGGCCAGCTCGCTGCCAAGGACAAGGAGGCCAGCGCAGAAGAGGATAAGCATACCGCAGATTCCCATAAGTGAAGTATGTTTTTCCCGTTTTCCTCTCCTCTATTATTGGCTAGTCTGATGGAAAATACTATAGGGTGGTGCGAGCTGGTACGAAGACTTGCTTCGCAGACATATATCAACCCTGGAAGCTAACCAGAGCGCCGCGGACGAGGCCTCTACAACTTACCTCAGCTCTGTGGATGTTGTAACAGACCTCCAAGCTCGCCAGGCCAAGCTGAACCACATCCACAAAGGCCGATACTCGGTTGATCGTGAGATCAGTAAAGCTGAGATGATCATTCGTGTGCTGAAACTGATGATCAATGGGACTAAGCAAGACGGGGATCGAATTCTATCCCTCGGGGATCCTTTGGAAGCCGCCTTTACGGAGCTAATGCGCATTGGTGAGCCTCCATACCATCGGAAAAATCGAAAGATCGAAGATCAGCTTTGTACGGCTGTTCTGAAGATCCATCGCGTCTCCTTGATCGATGACTCCTTTGTCGAGAGCGCGCGGACGGCTGTCACGGCGGTCCAAGATTGGTTTGACGATGATTATATGCCGGACGGTCCGAGGAAGGAAATTGAAGCGATAGTGAATAATCCACTGTATCAAGCAAGCCCGGAGTGGGTTACCGAGGATGGCCCTATAATGGGCGGCGGTCGCTAGAGGGGTGATTTGAACTCAATTCTATCGTTAAGTGCTTGTTTTGATCACTGGATAAGGACTAGTTAGTTAGGTAGACCATATTACCTAAAGATATTCGGGCCCGTTAACATTAATCAGTCTGAATGACTATACCCCTAGCTAACTATAGTATCTCCGTTGTCCGGGTATCCACCAATCCTGCGGCTCCAACAACCCCTCACGAGTCATGAATGTCGACGAGAGCTGACAAGTCGACCAGCTATCAACGCAACGTGCACGCAACTACACTCTTTATGTCCCGCATCCTCTACTCTACCCGGACATCTCCATTGACCAAACCAACTCTCCTCTTCCAGAGTCTCCATCGGACATATCAAACCCGCGGTCGCGCCTTCCCCAAAGCTACAGCCATCTCAGCAACCTCTACACTCTTCCAACGCGCAACCTATCCCTCCCCTCTACAGACCATACGCAACATGTCAAGCTCCACCATACCATCAACTCCCCGCTACAAACTAATCTTTTTCGTCCCCCCCTCCCACCTCGACCCCTGCAAAGAAGCCATCTTCGCCACGGGCGCAGGCACCTTCCCGGGCGGCAAATACACCAAATGCTGCTTCCAGACACGCGGACAGGGACAATTCTTGCCGAATGAGGGAGCGAATCCAGCGATTGGAGCCGTGGGCACGGTTGAGCAATGTGAGGAGGTCAAGGTGGAAATTATGTGTCTTGGTCGCGAGGTTATGTTGGATGCGGTGAGGGAGTTGGTTAGGGCGCATCCGTATGAGGAGGTTGCGTATGAGGTTTATCGTATGGAAGACGTTTGAGATTGGAATTGAGATGGGGGAGTTAGTTGAGAGATTGGAAAGTGTAGTAGGCCGTTGGTATTTGGAGGTGTAGGAGGAATGTCATGATGCTGGAGAGGAAGCTCGATGCTGACTGATTGCAAAACCTATAGGTTGGAGATTAGTACTTCTGTGAGTGAGATTAATTTCTGGTAATATTCTAGCATCAACCAGTGCATTGAAATCAATTGAATCGGTCACAAGCAAGTCGCAGATCGTTCATGTGTGTCTCGTAGTTAAAAAGACGAGGTCGACTGTGAGGTGGGAAAGGCGGGAGTAATCTGTCCACGCTGATTGGCTGACAACCCGCAAAAGGTCTCTCGGCCAACTTCGACTCTTCTCCTCCTCCCAGGTTCAGCTTCATCCGCTCTCTCAATTGACCCTCCATCCCTACACATCATGGCCTCGAAGCTCCTTCCCCGGGCCAGCCGGCTGCTGCGCCCTACCTCAATCCCTCAATACAGATCCTTTTCCGCCGCCCCGCAACGGCTGAGCGACTCGCTCATGGTGGTACGCATCTCCCCATGCAGGGCACAATCACCCCTCAAGACCTTGAGCACACACCCAAGACCGAGCTAGACGCTCGCGCATCGTCAACATGGTCAAAAATACACCAATTAGATCATTAGCTAACCCTCAATTTGCCTCCCGATCAGCACCGCAACAAGCCTCACAACAACCCGACCATCCCGTTCAAGTTCTCCGAGCAGAACCTCAAGGTCGTCGATGAGATCCTCAAGCGCTACCCTCCCCAGTACAAGAAGGGTGCCGTCATGCCCCTGCTGGACCTCGGCCAGCGCCAGCACGGCTTCACCAGCATCAGCGTCATGAACGAGGTCGCCCGCATGCTGGAAATGCCCCCCATGCGTGTCTACGAAGTCGCAACCTTCTACACCATGTACAACCGCGAGCCCGTCGGCAAGTACTTTGTGCAGATTTGCACCACCGTAAGCAATTCCCCACTCTAGCGATCATTTGCCCTCCAAAAACATTCCTCCGTAAACATCCAATTGACATCTTCCCCTTCGCTATCCAGACCCCCTGCCAACTCGGCGGCTGCGGCTCCGACGCCATCGTCAAGGCTATCAACGAGCACCTCGGCATCACCCCCGGCCACACCACCGAGGACGGCCTCTTCACCTACATCGAGGTCGAGTGCCTGGGAGCCTGCGTCAACGCCCCCATGGTCCAAATCAACGACGACTACTACGAGGATCTGACCCCAGAGTCCATCAAGACCCTCCTCACCGCACTCAAGGAGTCCGCCACTACCGGTGCCCAGGCTCCCAAACCCGGCCCGTTGAGCGGACGCAGCACCTGCGAGAACAGCGCCGGTCTGACTAACCTCCGCGAGGTGCCGGAGTGGAGCCCCGAGGTGTTTATGCGCAAGGACGGTGCGTTGGACGGCGAGGCTAAGCAATAAGCGAGAAAGAGAGAGAAAGAAAGAGGAGTCCTTCTCCCTTGATTCTTCCTTTTTTCCTTTATTCCTCAGATGGTTTCCTTTTTTATAATGGCGGGGTCCTTTGCCGGTAACAAGCCCCATTTCGCGACTGCGTACTGCTTGCTACTCATGTTGAGCGGAGTTGAGCAAAGCAGAGCAGAGCGGAACAAAAAGATATTAGACCTACCCGACG